AAGGAAAGCAGACAGTCACGGCCAGCCCCTCTTCTGTTTTGTAGCTCCTGGTCTAGAGGGGCTTCCCTAGCTCTCGGGAGGCCTGTGATATAGGTGGCAAACATCTCTATTCCAGGAGCTTTCAAACTGGAAACAGCCACAGGCACAAAAGCGGGGGCAAGATTTTATCTCCCGTTTTACGAAATCCACATTTTATCTCCAGGTGTCGCTCTGCAGTGGAATGAGGCCCAGGGTCCCCTCCAGCAAACCACTGGGGCTGCTCAGATGCCTTCTTGCTCCATACCAGTGGTTCTCAACCTGTAGGTTGCGACCCTCACAGGGGTTGTAGATCAGATATTTACATTACAATTCACAGCAGTAGCAAAATTACTGCAATGAAATAATCTTACGGTTGAGGGTCCCCACAACATGAGGAACTGTATTAAAGGATCACAGCATTAGGGAGGTTGAGAACCACTTCTTGGGACTATCTCTCTCCTAGAGCACCTTCTAGCATCTTAGTGCCAAAGGATGACAAGTCACATCTCACACCTTACAAGGTCTGCCTGACTGTAACTCAGCAGAATGGCAATAAAACTCAGAACTCAGGAATGGCAATAAAATCTCCCTTTCCCTCTTTCCCCGTTTTATGTATATGTTAGTGTGGGTATATGCCCATGTGTGCATGTGCATGAAACCGGTGGTTAACCTTGGGTATTGTAAGTGACGATTAAAATTTACTATTGATCTATCTTTTAGTAAAGCTGCTTTTAATCCTAAACAGCTATGTAACCAAATCACCACACAGAGACTGGGATTTATTTAATTAACCTAGAACACAATGCTGGGCAATAGTTACTCCATCCTAAACCTCCAAGCTCTCATAGTTTCCTAACATTTAGATTTCCCACATTATATTTGCTTTTTTGTGGTATATTAGATCCAGTCCATCTCTCTACCTCGTTTCAAGATCCCTCTCCTGCCTCTGTTCTCCCAGCTCTTATCTATCCCTCTCTCCTCCTCCTCTGCCTCCCACCTTCCTGTCCTCTGGCTTCTCCCTCTCTCCCTGCTTCCTTTCTATTGCTCAACATTGTGGCTAGTTGCTTTATTTTGGCATGTTTACACAAAGTTGAGACAGATGATGCTTAGAATAAGCATCACAATGTAATGTCCGGATTGAAACCAGAGAGTGGGGGAGAGAAGTCAGCATTTGAATGCTGGGTAAGGTGTATACATTTCAAAAGAACATTATACCAAAACTTGGGTGTCTTTCTTGACTGAGGCTGGATCTCTCACCGAAACTGGAGCTCATGGGTTGGGCTACCAAATGAGCTCCAGAGGTCTGCTTGTCTCCATCTTCCCAGCACCGGGGTTCTAGAAGCGCCCTGCTGCTTTGGCATTTACGTGGGTGCTAGAATGGACCCTGAGGTCCTCCTGCTTGTGTGACAGGCTCTTTACTGGTTGAGGCATCTCCCCAGCCCTCAGAATGTTTCTTTAGCAGGGAAACACCAGCGACTTGAAAGACTTCTTAGGCTCCCGATGTGTCCTTTCAAGATGGCAGCTTGGGGAGAAGAGGCAGGAAATGTAAATATTTCAGTTTTTAAAAACTGCCTGAGCTTAGTATTTCTAGCACCTCTTTAAACATTGCACTTGTTACACACACACACACACACACACACACACACACACACACACACACACAGAGAGAGAGAGAGAGAGAGAGAGAGAGAGAGAGAAATTAAACAAAAATCTTTCAATGTTGTCTGTGGGGCGATTGCCTTGTCCTGGCCCTATCTCCGGAGACTCCTTCAGTGGCCTTCACTTCAAACTGATTCCTTTCTCTCTCAGTAGGAACCAGCGTGGGAGCTTGCCTATGGCACTTGCTCCTCCGTAAAGAGACCATATTGGTTTCTTCTTGATGATTGCTACCCTGACCGACCTCCCTGGTTTTCCTTTCCCTGACAAACAGAACTGAAGCAGATGCAGGTTAGGGTCAGAGGCAGAGGGCTATGGCCACAGCTCTACATCTGAGTCAGAAGCTAATTTCATGGATCCGTATTTGATAGGAACTTCTGTTTCTCAAAAATCTTGGTGTGTTCCTGGGAAGGTGAGTCAAGTGTTTCAGTTCAACAAACCAGCTTCTGCAGCCAGAGGGGACAGACAACACTTGGTGCTTGCCAAACCTCACATCTTACACTCTTTGGCAAGTTTGCTGTTAGACAGGGTCAGTGTTACTTGGTAGTCTTGGCTGCCCTAGAGCATGCTATGAATACCAGAGTGGCCTTTAACTCACAGAGATCCTCCTGCCTCTGCCTCCTGAGGGCTGGGACTAAAGGTGACTATCATCAGCACACACGTTCTTTTCCAACCTGCTGCCTTATCTCTCTACTGTTTATTTCTGAGATGGGGTGCTGTTCGGGTCCTCCGATAGAGCTTACTGAGTGGGCTGGTAGGTGGACCCTATGAGTGTGGCCCCAGCACAATTGAGCTATGGGATAGTACACATGCTTAGCAGGACTGCATGTTGGGGGGGCTACAGTATGGAGACAGGCCAGCTCTGTAGGACAGCGGTATGACTGGCACAGAGCATCTCTCAGTGTTTGGGGAAAGCATGTGGAAATCCTAGAATGAGGACAATGAATATGTTCCAAAAGGGACACAGGAGAGAGAGAGAGAGAACAAGCATGTGTGTACACGGGCATGCACACACATGTGTTGTTGTATAGTCAACATGGAAACTGATTCCTTCTTTGGCTCATGTATTCTTTCAAGGTATGTGCCCTTGTTAGTGAGGCCATGGAAAGTAGATAGGACTCCTACAAGGAAGCAAGGGGCAAGAACAAACCGGAAACTGACTGCAGAATGGCATCTATGGAGGGCTCTAAGGAGCAGTCTAGACAGATGGTACCCACGGCTCCTCACTTTGAAATACAACACATAGCCACAAACTACAGGGAGGTGTTTGCTTCATGCCTGTTGTGTTGTATTTGTAAAATCAGCAGGATTTGAACTAAACTGGGGGTGGCAGGGGAGACAAGAGGAGGCAACAAGAGGGCAAACAAGATCAAAGTGTGCTATGCACGTGTATAAAAATGTCAAAAAATTCAATATTTTGTAAATGAACGTGAGCTCATAAAACAACTGGGATTATCCAAGACAGTTTGCCTCTGTGCCCAATCCAATGGTGGTGAGAAAACTCCCAGAAAACGTGATCAAGAGCCTTGAAAATCTGCTGCTTTTAGAACTGGCTGTTTCCTTTTAGAAAATTATTAAAGTATTAATGGTGGTCCTCTGTGTCCTGATTCTTTAATCCAGCATAATAATTTGATATTTATATTTATCAGTTTGTTCATTAAATTTTAAATGAGTTAGCAATATTTCACTGCATGGATATACCACAACCTTTTTTTTTTATCCATTAAAAGAAAAAAAAAAGGAAAAATGACTTCTGGGAATAAAGTCTGACTTAGTACTGTCCTGTGGGCACTAAGCTCAGAATGCTTGTGGGGGATAGTTAGTTCTGTCAGGAAATACAGAGACAATTTGTAGTCCTGTTTCTCCTGCTGTAGTCACGAGTAACAGACAGGCCTCTGAGTTTGAGATAAGGATATTTGAGAAGGTAATGTTGAGTTTTGGGAGATCTTTGTGCAGGATGCCTAGACATTTTGCTTCCTAGTTGGAGTGCATGTCACTCCAGACAAATGACCCACAAGCCAGTGCAGTGCTGTGAATCATCTCTCCTGAGATGTTTGACAATGAAAAGTCAAAGACACAGAGACAAGTGACTTGTGGGGTAGGGGCCCCTACAAGGTGAACCAGCTGTAGCTGCTTCCATCTCCAACACTCTTGTTCTTTTGTACCCTGACTTGAGGTGCTGGCCTTCATAGCTTGTTCCTGTATATACATATAGAGGGGCCCCAGCAAGCTAAGGGTTTCAAAGGTCATTTTGAGGACACAGTCCTCTAAAAACACCAACTATGAAGCAAACAATGAGGAGAGCAAATGAGAAACCTCTCCTTTCAGACTTAAGTGGTAGAAGTTACAATTTAGGCATAAATACATGCCTATTAAAAAGTTTTAGGAGTTACTAATGGCTATGGTTGCATAACTGTTTTCTGTTCCCTCCCTCTCTTTCTGAGGCCGAATCTGCTATGTAGTCTAGGCTTCATTATACAGCTCAGGCTGGCTTTGAATCTGCAATGCTTTTTCCTCACCTTCCCAAGGTGCAATCTGGGATTGCAGATGTGTGCTCCAGGCCATCCTTAGCTATACATATGACATTTAAATACCTAAAAAAAATGGTTCCAATGCTACATATGGGTATATACACATGCTTATGTGCCAATTGTGGGTATATATGTAACATACATATCTTTAACATAGAATTAATAACTGAATTGTGTGTTGTATGAATTATATCTTAGTTAACACTTTTTTTTTTTTATAAAACACCTAAGACTTTGCAAGTTAAAAGATTTATTTATCTTATCCTGGATCCCGGATCCTCTGCAAAAGCAGCGAGTGATCTTAACCTGTGAGCCATCTCTCCAGCCCCAGACTTTTTGTTTTTAAAGAACCTCATGATTCTGCTGCTCAAATATTTGCATCTTTTGCATTTCTTCAGTCCGTTAGAAGTAGATCAGCCTGAAGTAGCACCAGGCTTTAGCAACAACCTGATGTACAGTCTCCTCAAGCCTCCTGCCCTGGGAGGAGGTTTCTTTAGGAATCCACAGAGAGGATCAGAACACCCGCTCAGCCGCACTGCATCAAAATGTGTGTAATGAGTTCTGCACAGCGCCCGGCACAGGCGGTACTGTTGATTGCATGTGTTAATCACATCTAAGTCTGAATATTTTTGGGTAATCCTTCCTCATTTGAGTAGGGTTCAGAAGCTTACCTAGGTGCCATCCCCGAAGCTGAATTGAATAATGTTGGACTTTTCTCCCAATCAGTCATCAGGAAGTGACATAGAAAGATTTTTCGTTTTCAGTTGTTCGGGATTCAGATCTACTTTGCCAAGGATGGAGGCTGAAGATCTTTCAAAGCCTGAGGACAGACCTGAGGACCCAGGTTCCCAAAAGGAAGGCCAGACCCCTGCTGTGAAGCCTGATTTTCCACTAGAAGGGCCGTGTCCTGGACCCACTGTCCTCTGGGATATGCTTGAAAACAAATTTCTGGAATATCAGCAGCTACTGCACAAGAACCCAGAAGAACGCCGGAAGAACTTGCTGAGCCTTCTTCCCCTGTTCCTAAAGGTCAGAATCCCAAATTTGATTTAATTTTTATTTGGCTGTAGAACTGGAGCTACTTGCAGGGTACAGCGTGATGTTTTGATGACCACCTGTGTAAACTGTATTCAGCTTTTGTTTCTAGTGAGGTCATGCACAAGTCGCATTTCTAGCTATCTGGAAACACGTGCCATTGCTAACATGGAGGCACTGCTGCTCTTCCGGATCATAGGCTGACACAGTGCTTTGAGGATACTTGAGGAATGGCTAGAAACAAAGCTGGTTTGAATATCAACATGACTGGTCTCTGATGAGCCCAAAGGCTTGCCTTGGTTTGTTCATGAGTTGTTATAAAGTACCATAAACAGCATGGCTTATAAACAATATGAAAATCACCTTTTAATTTTTTTGGAAAAAAAATTGGTGGATATAATATCAGGAATTGGACAGTTGAAACTCCCAAATGTATATAAAAATCTCTGAGTTACTTCATTTGATGGAGGTGGAATGTCTAAACTTGGTGCTTATTTTGGGCCTAAGGACAAATAAGGTGACCTAGAATGCTCTTTGAATGGAGGCAATGTACACACAGGAGTTTGAGTTGTTCCTGCTTGGAAAGGAATTATTTCCTGAGGTGTGGGGACATGCCCGACTGTCCCCACAGTCAGAATAGCTACTTTGTCAGTCAGACTAAGGGAGAAGGGGGTGAGCCTTGTGCAGGTCAGGCTTGGTGAAGGCTAGCACTCATGCATGCTTTAACTCAGTGAGTCTTGAGAAGGGCAGTGGAGCCACCAACCGATGCAAGATTTTGGTTACCATTTTGGTAAGAGGAAGGCCTATGGGGAGTTTGAAGGATATGGAATTCTGGCAGGGGCAGACTTGAGAGGTGAGTCAGAAATCAAGTTCACAGGCTCTTCCCTGTGGTCGGGCTCATGTCTCCTTTGCACATAAAGAAGAGTTCTCAGCCAGGCCAAAGTCAACAGTGTCTTAATCCTGACCTAGGGTTTCTCTCTCCCCCTCTCTCTCTCTCTCTTAATAAAAAGATTCATTTATTTATTATGTATACAATGTTCTGACTGCGTGTACACCTGCACACCAGAAGAGGGCACCAGATCTCATTATAGATGGTTGTGAGCCACCATGTGGTTGATGGGAATTGAACTCAAGACCTCTGGAAGAGCAAACCAATGTTCTTAACCTCTGAGCCATCTCTCTAGCCCTCTCTTTCTTTTTAGTTTCACCTTGTTCTGTCTAGCACTACTCGAATTACACTGATGGCCACTGACTTACCATGGTTTGACTCATGATACTTCAGCTTTATGTGCAAAGTAATATGCAGTCACCCACCAGTGGATTTTAGACTTAAAGTTCTTACCTTCTCTGAGGCTGGCAGTGTCCTCTCTCACTGTGCTGGACTGAGGTCATTGGTCCCAGCTTTTGATCAGCTGAGGTACCACAGCTGACCACTGATGTAGTTGCACGCTCAGCAGGCCTGCTTTTTTTTTTATGTATTTTTATTTACAGTGGGTTTATTGGGATGCAAACCCGTTGTAAGTCTAGGAGCAGAATAGAAACAAAAGGCACCTGAAGGAAAGTGATGCCCCAGGTTCAAGCACTTAGCAGGTGGCAGAAATAAGACCTTCAGGACGGTGTTGTGATGTCAGATGGACCTAGACAGCACTCACCAAGCTCTGTCTGACCCGACACTCAGCTAAGTGTTTACAGTTCTCATCATAAACCCATGGATGCTAATATTGACCAATGTTAATACCAGTTCTGTAAGTGAGGAAATAGAAGGCTGCAGATGTTGAGCAACCTGTCCAAGGTCATCCAGTTGTTATCTGGGAGCAGAACTGAACTGAAAGTTTGTCTGAAGTCAGCATTGCTAACCACTGGGCTCCCTTGCTCAGTGCTTGAGTTTGTAGGGTGGGGCCTATCTGCTTTCCCTTTTTCTCGGCCCATAATGGCGCACGACACAATGACTCTGTCTGTCTAGGGCCTTACTTTTCTCTTGGTAACAAAACTGTTACCCCCCTGTACACACAATGTTTCCGAAGCTGACTACAGGGTGCTGAGGGCAGGAAAGAGGTGTTATTACATCACATAGGAAGCAACACGGGGTTGTCAGGACTGCTGTTCTTCGTCTAAGCAGAACTGTGGCCTTTGGATCTTGACAACGTTCCCCATCAGAGGATCTCATCTTCAGTAGATGGGAAACACTCCAGGTCATTCAAAAACACTGTGATAACAGTTACGGGACCAACACTGTATGCCTCACTGATGAAGACTGTTCTTAGCATCTGTGCTTTGAGAAAAGCAGGAAGGAAGGCGGAGAGGACCCAGAAGGGATTGTAAAATCCCCCAGTGTCTGGAGCTGGGGAGGTACACTGGGGAAAAGGGAGGTCTGTGGATGTCATGCTCTGTGAATGATCTCACACTGCTCACGTAAGAAGGGAGGTCTTCTCTATGGCCATACCACCCTGAACACGCCCAGTCTCATCTGGTCTCAGAAGCTAAGCAGGGTTGGGCCTGGTTAGTAACTGGACTGAAGATGGAAGAAGGGAGGTCTGTGTTCCTTCTTTTTTTTTTTAATATTTCTTTTAACTTGTGAGCTATAATATAGTTGCATCAGTTCCCCTCTTCTTTGTCTTCCTGTGTACTCTCTCATATACTCTTCCTTGCTGTCTTTCAAATTCACGGCCTCCTTTTTCATTAATTGTTGTTTTACACAAACACACACACACATCATTTCTTTTTGTTTCAGTAAAAGCTTTGGTATACCACCTTAAAAAATATAAACACACACACACATTCCTAAATACACAAATATACCTGCTCACTCTGTGTAATGCTACTTCTCTGTATATGTTTGCAGGCCTGGCCATTTGGTATTAGATCACCAATTGGTATGCTCTTCCTGGGGATGACTATTGCTCCTAACCTAACATTCTTTAGTTACCTTAGTTCTTTGTTCAGGTTTGGGATCTCTTGGACTTCCTCTTGTCCACATCAGTATATCTATTGCTGTGTCCTTGTTTATCTCATGCTTAGTGAGCCATGCTGGTGAGACTTCACGAGTGTAGCTTCTGACATTTCTAGAAGACGCAATTTCACAGCAAGCTCCCGGATCCTCTAACTCTTTACACTCTTTCTTCCCTTTCTTCCTCAATAATGCCTGAACCTTAGGTGTGGGAGTTGCATTGGAGATGTATCCGTTAGGACTGGGATCCGCAATGATACCTTTACTGCAATCTTCTTCTTGAATCTAAGTGAGTTTTGGTGGCTTGGCTAAAAGAATAGGGAAGAAAAACATTTCTCGGCATAGGCTCGGGAGACTCATGCTGCTACCTCTTGTCACTTGGAATGCTGGGACACTTACTTGTAGAGTGTTGCTGCCAAGCAGAGGAAGATTAGACAGTCCCAAGTAAACAGCCCAAGGACAGGAATATGTTCATTCATCTCCCACTGCCCTGTGTGTGTGTGTGTGTGTGTGTGTGTGTGTGTGTGTGTGTGGTTGCACGCATGCTCACTCTTAACTAACTACTGATCGAAGTTTGTATCATTAAATATGGTCATTTCAAAATTGGATCTACTGGTACTCGAATAAAGTAAGTAACACTGAATATAACAGCAGAGATAACCAACAGTGTATTTTTTAGTGTGATTTCCAAAGGGGACAGAGAAGTCAGCCTCTCTCCTAGCTCACTCCTGAGTCTATTTCTACCTTGCAGTGGAGACCGGCCATGGTTTACTCTCACCTTGGGAGAACTGCAGCTTCGTTGTTTTAGCAGAAGCTTTGCCCTACCGCTTTTACTTCTGTTTTTAATTTACAAATGATGTTGTCCATAGTGTCACACCAAGCAGGAAGCCTTAGGAATGGCCAAAACTCAGTGGCAGACCTACCAGACCGCAGCGAGAGTAACAGTACCATGGTCAGGCAGGAAACCCAAGCACACTGTTTGTCCTGAGAAGCTGAGGTTTCCTCCCATCTCTTCATGAGCTTTTGTCTTTGTTTATTTTCCTTTGGAGATCATAGCATCATTTTCTTTGTTGTCTGAGAAGAGAAGGGACAGCCACAAGGCATGATGGTGCAGCTTAGTAAATAAAAGTTTTTTTTTGTTTTTGTTTTGTTTTGTTTTAAATATTGAGCAATATTCTCTCAGCATGCAAGTCCCAGTTTGGAAAAAAAAAATTAGGGTCTTTTGGAAGCTGCTTTAACTCTTTGGGGTCTCCATGCTACCATTCAGTGAATGACTGGCTTTGTGCATCAAACTGCACCCTGGCGGCCTGAAAGAGTTAAAGCAGCCTGGAGAAAGCGCCCATCACAGTCCCAGGAAGAAGCTGTGCCTTGGGAGCCCTGGCTCTGAGTACAATTACTGCTCAAGTCACAGTGGTCCTATTTGCTTTATTGTCGCGTGCCTCCAGGATTCCCACTGCTCCCGAGACAATATCCATGCTCCAGAGTCAATGGCCTGAAAATTGGTCTTTGAAGGCTTGGAAATATGGGGAGGAGGTAAGGAGTTTATTTGAAAGTTTGCACAACAGAGTTCATGGTCCTGGGGAAGGACAGTATCTTACCTCTGAAATTCCAAGATCAGAGAACTGTTTTCCATCTAGAGATAGCATGTATGAGTGACTGCTGGTTTCCAGCTGCAATGGTTATGGCTATGAAAAGGTTACTTGGTTGGGCTCCTTGTGGGTGAAAGAATTCAACTCCTCCTCTTCCTCTTTCTATTTTTCTTCTCTGTCTTTTTCTCCTCTCATTCTCTTTCTTTTTGAACACAGTCTCATTATGTAGCCCAGGCTGGGTTTGAACTTGTTATCCTCAGCCCATGAGTGCTGGTACCACAGGTATGTACCACCATGCCTGTCTGAAACAACTTAACTCTTGAGGCTGAATTTTAATAGATTCTTTTGCTTACTTCCCTCCTTCACTCTATTCTAGTTTCATTTCTATTGCTATGACAAAATGCCCTGACCAAAAGCAACATAGTGGAAGAAAGGGTTTATTTAGCTCATAATTCCAGAATGCAGTCCACCACTGAGGGGAAGTCAAGGCATGATTAAACTCGAAAACAACTTAGCCACATCACATCTCTTATCAAGGCCAGAAAGAAAAGAAGAGACTCATGCTGCCTGCTTGCCTACACTTGGCTTTATCCTGTCTTACATGGTTTGAAACCCCTGCCTGGGGAGTGGTGCCGTCTGCAAGGGGCCGAGCCTCTATCAGTTAACAACCCAAAGAAATCCCCACGGACGTGTGTACAGGCCAACCTGATTAGAAATATTTTCATCCAGGCTTTCTTCTTAGGTGAGTCAAGGTTGTGGCGAGTTTGACATTTAAAACTAGCCACCACGCTCCATTTTTACGGAGTGTGTCTAAAAGTAGCGCCAACTTCATAGCCTGGTTCGAAGGTTAGTGGAAATAAGACTGTGATATTATGCACTTGGCCGTCATTATTATTGTACATTGTGGGTATTGTGATAACACCTGTCAAATGTTTGTTGAAGACAAACTGTCCAATAGCCATCACCAGTTTTGTTGTTTTATCAAAGCTCTGAAGCATTATCATATCTTCTTTCATTTATAATCCTTTGCCAGTTAGGTCAGCATGTATAGACTAGAAAATTTAAAATACAAAACAACAACAACAAAAATACAGTATTTAACTCAAAACGTAGCAGAGGAATCCCTACCACCTAGTACATAAGAGATGGAGGGGCTTATTATGGTTTACAGTTCCAGGGCACAGCCCATCAGAGGTCATGGCAGCTGGAACGTGAGGCAGCTGGGCGCATTGCATTTCCAGTTGAGAGAGAGAGAGAGAGAGAGAGAGAGAGAGAGAGAGAAAGGAACATTCATTCCCTTTCTTCTCATTACTCAGTCTGGGCCTAATACACTGAGAGATGATGCCCATATTTATGTGTGTCTTCCCACTTCATTTAACCCAGTATAGAAAACCCCTCAACACTCCCACAGAGATGAGATGCCATGATGTCTCCAGATCTTACCAAGTGACAACCGAGGCCAACCATTGAAGTGGATGATGGGCGGCTTTTTGGTTATACCTGGGGCAGGAAGTGGAGCCTTTGGATGGCGGGAGGCAGGCCAGGTGACTTTCATGCGTGGCTGGTTGCATTGTGCCCTCTAACTGGAGTCTGTTCGTTGCCTTTCAGGCCTGGGAACATTCTGTGGGGATCATCTGCTTTCGCAGTCTCCAAAGGCTGGCAGAAGATGTATCTGACCAGCTGGCCCAAGAAATACAACAGGCACTTGCTGGAAAGCCTGCAGGTAAAAAAAAAAAAGAGGGTCTAAAGTGCAAGAGCGCACAATGGCAAATAAAGTTGGCTGTAAACCGACCCTCCTCACAAATTCCTTGGCTCTCTTCTGCCAGGACAGTGGCATGGACCTGGGAAAAGACAGGGACATAGGAAGGGGCTGATCCTGTGACACAGGCACATGCAGTCCCAACACAGAGTACACACGTGTGTGTACGCACACACACAGAGAGAAAGAGAGAAAGTCATGCCAGACACACTACATCCACAGACACAGAGTCACATTGTCACTACATGCCCTCACATAGACACATTGCACACATAGACACAAAACATAAAAATCTCACACCGAGAGGCTCACAGTCACACACTTGAGGCACACTGCGCACTGCATACCTTCTGCGTACCACACGCGGAGACACTAAATATGGATACTTCACTCACACAGATTCTGCATTCAGATATCACACACACGTGACTCATCATATATACAGATACTACATACAAACGCATACATACATAGAGACACACGGGCACAGATATGCAGAGGCACACAAACACTTCTCTCTCTCTCTCGCTCTGTCTCTCAACTGAGCGCACTCGTGTGTACACACACGCACAACCTCGCTATCTGGGGGATGTCCTGGGGCCAGAGAAGGAGCCATATGTTCAGTGGAGAGCTTGGTCTGGTTAAAACACTGAGGCCAGAGAATGCACATTTTATTGGAGCACCTGGTTAGCATTCTTCCAGTCACGTGAGCTGGCCCCTGGAGGCTGGGCAGTGGGCCCCAGGGCCTGTGGGCTGAGGGACAGGGGAAATTTCAGGTGGATGGAAGCTTCGGCCTGGGGTAGATTGCTGGGTCTTCAGCAGTGAAAGGTGTTGGGTGATGAACAAAGTGGGAGTGAAAAGTCTGGATTGCAGGGGTCCAATTGTGGAGGGGCAATAGGGAACTATGGATGACTATTATGGGTAATAAAAGCTGCCCCCTCCAGGGTTATTAATCTTGAGGAGGGTAATGTTTGGGGCATACTCCAGTGGCCTTGAGGTATGTGGGGAAGGAGGCCTGTGCTCTGCAGCAGGGCACAGACTCATCTTTGGGGAAGAGGAGGCCCTGGAAGCTGGGTGAGAGGATGCATCACCAACCAGCTTTTGACATCTTGCAGAGCAAGCCCGGGCTGCAGTTGGGCAGCTACTGCGGTGGAAGAGTGACATGGAGCAGGATGGCTACCTGCTCCTAAAATCAGTGTATGTGCTCACGGGGACAGACTCGGTGAGTTCTGGGCCTCTCAGGGGCCTCCAGGTGCCCCTATCTATGGACAGAGAGAGTTAAAGTCCAGCACAGGGCAGCGGCCTGTCTCCTCCCATTGACTCATTATATCCAACTCCCTTCTCCCTTTCTGCTGTCATACATGGACTTCCGGGCCGCAGGTTCAGGCTTGGGTCCTGCTTTCTCAGTGGACAAGCCGTGTGCAACCACAAGCGAACTACTTCACTCCTGCCACTTGGCTGTGCTCTCTTTGTGATCTTAGACATTGGGTTAGACAGTCCTCTCTCATAGGGTCAGTGTGAGAAAATTTATGGCTGAATTTACCAACAGCTCCCTACCAGTAAGGGCCAGGGTGGGGGTGTCCCATGCATGGTGCCGATTAGTCCTCCGGGGACCCTGAGCTGGATGATGGAGGCGCATGGAGAAGACATGGCGTTTCCTGTGTGAAACCCCAGTGTATCACCCCAGAGCGCCTGCTCTGGGCTCCATGTTCCTTCCCAGCTGGTCCAGCTGGAACGAGGGTCACCTCTTGGCTCTAAGTGTAGTGTGCCCCATGCTGGCTGTGGTTGTGTCCTCTCCTAACGAAGCTGGGTGTCTCAGGCCACCTCTTGAGTGGTTAGTGGGTGAGAGGCTAGTTTCCTCTCAGGAACTCTGGCAGTTGTGATCATCAGTAGAAATGCCCAGAGACCCTTGCAAGATGGGCCAAGAGACACACAAAGGTAATAGGAGTGAGAATCTGTGTGTAGGGACCATGCAAGGGACTGTAGACCATGCAAGCTGCTGCTGTGGGGTGCAGCAGCCCTCAGCATGCAGTGTTAGGTAGGTGATTGGATGTCTCTGTGGAGCTGGGCTGGTATAACCCGTCATGGCTATCTGAGGCAGGTTGACAGCCTTATCATAGATGCTAACTGTAGGGGGACCCCTGACTTGTGCTCAGTGTTTGTCCTTGGGGGTATGTGTCTGCAGTCTAAGCGAGGACTTTATGTCCGCAGAAGCAGACAGCCCTGAAGCAGTGAGGGAAGTTAAGAGCTGTCTGTTGAGGAGGACAAATGTCAGAGGGAATCGAGAAAAACCAGGGCTCCACTGGTCGAGGGAAGGAATTAGCTTTCAGAGAAGCAGTCACTATAGGTGGGTCCCGTGGTCACCTGCATTTCCCAGTCAAGGACACCGAAGGCGGAGGAGGGGGAAGTGGCTTTTCTACAGTTCCACAGATGTGGGACTGCATGCAGGTGAGAGTTGCCTCTGCCCCGGGTGACCTGTGATCTTCCCTTGCAGGAAACGCTGGGCAGAGTGGTGGATTCAGGGCTTCCAGCCCTGCTCCTGCAGTGCCTGTATCTCTTCTTTGCATTTCCTGTGGAAAAGGATGAGCTTTCGGAGAGCGATGTTCAAGGGCAGAGGATATTTGTGCAGGTGAGCAAGCAGGGCCCTGGCCTCCTCTTGCCCTGAGCTTGCTTTGCAAGGGTCAGGCTCTTGGCTGCTCCTGAGAGGTTTCTGTCTCAGCCTTAGTTTCCAAGTGCCTTGTCTTCTCCAGCACAGCTCTCCCTGTGTCTCCACTCTGCAAAGCCTGTTGGCCAGAAGATGATTTTCCCTTGTTCTCTTCAGGGCATCCATGTGTCAAAATCCACATTCCCCTGTGCTCTCTGTGAAGAGTGGGGTCCTCCCCCAACTTGGCTCACCACCCCAGACCTTGCTTCCTTCCACCTGTGCTCTCAAGTTCCACCTCCTCCCTGGCGTCCGGAAGTGCATTTTTTTATGGACCTTTCCCCTCAATCCGACTTGCAAAATAGGAGCCAGCATTTTCTAAAAAAGTCACAGGCACCACTTGATTCATCACTTCTGAGAAGTGAATCCCTGAGTGTTGTCATTCAGCACTGCATGAGTATCAGAGAGTAGAGGTGTGCGGGTCCCCGATGGTTCAGGTCAGTCAACCGTGTGACTTCTTGATATGCTCAGGAGGCACATGACTTACAGGAAGCTGTTTTTGTAAGCAGGAACAGGATGCGTCTTTCCTAGCTGGCTGTGTGCACAGTGCTGGCTGGGGATAGAGGACGGGGTACACTATCCACTCCCTTCTGCTGAGGAATGGCTGTCGACGCAGCCGAGAAGCCGGGAGCAAGCTGCCATCGGAGAGTCCTACCTAACCAGAGCCTTCTTGTTTTGTGTTCCTCCCAGATGCTGCTAAACATTTGCAGCGAGTCTCGGGGTCTGGAGGGACTTCTCTCGGGAACCGAGCTCCAGTCTCTGTTGATCGCTACCACCTGTCTGCGGGAACACAGCTGCTTCTTCTGGAAAGAGTCTACCTTCTGTGTGCTGCGGGCTATCTCCAAAGCTCAGAGCCCCAGCGTCATCCAATACATGCGATGTAGGTTCCAGGAGACCAGGTGTGGGCTGGGGGGGTCACTCAAGGGCTTCCTTTAGCTTGGAGCAAAGCTCCAGGGCCCATGGGCTCTGTTAGCTTCAGTGCAGATTTCTGGAAAGAAGAATTGAATGGCCAACCTGCCCAGGACAAGACCCTAGACGGTGTGACTCCATTTGTGAAAATGTGTGCTGTTCCCCTCTGCACATCACTGGAGGAGGGGAGAAGGGGGGGGGCTCATTTACCATGTGCATACTCCCAGAAAGCATGCAGGGCCTGCTCATTACATCAGATGTTGGAGACAGATGTTGGCATGGGGAAAGTGGCACTCAAGAGTGATAGAAGATCTTGACAAACTGTTTTTAAGCAGGGATGTGTCTGATTCCTGCACCTTAGTGCCTTGTTGGGGGCATGTCTGGGGTGAAGGCTGGAAACTCTGGAACCACAGCCAGGGTGTGAATTTCACCTCTGCCAAGGGATCTCATGTCCACAATCACGGGAGAGCCCTGCTTGTCTCATCTACAAGGCGGACAGAATGATAGCGTTGATTGCCTTGCACTGTTATGATTTCCAGTGGGTGCTGACATACATGTACCTAGACAGCACATGGCACATTGCCCTCAGTATCCCATTCGTCACTTGGGTTTTTATTGGAGATGAAATGCTTTGTGAGCCAATTCCATTAGCTCTCTCAGGGGCCCTCCTTAGCATTCACCACCACTGCAGGACCCAGATAAGCTCCAGATAAGCATGGAGAACTCTGGAGCTGCACAACTCTAAAAAGGATGCCTCCCACCCCTCTGCTCACCTCCATCTTCCCAGTGTTTTCTCAGCTCTTCCAGTTGAGCACAACAGCCATCTTGGAACACAACATTTCTTGGGTTGATCCCAGAGAATGGGCATTTTGGACAAAGCTGGGTTACTGAGCAGCTAATATCACCTGCGTGTTCACAAATACGTGGCCTGTGATTTGCCTTCTCTCTGTAATAAGGAACATCTACTGGTTAGAATTGGGAAAGCCCCACCACGCTCTTTTTTTCTGTAAATCAGTCCTTGGAGGAGATGCCATTGGGTTCAAATCCTCCTGTGAGTTCAGCCTATGCTTATAGTTGAAGCTAAGTTGTGCCTGGACATTTCAGTCTCCTTTACCCTCCCCCTGGCTAGAGTCTGAGTGGGCTAGGGAAAGGCTGAGGCATGGTGCACAGGGGTCTCTGACTGTTGTCCTCTGCTGCCCAGGCCAAGGCTTCAGAAAGCTCCCCCCCAGGGCCACTATGTCTAGAGGCTTCTTACAGATATGGGCACTCTCTATAGGCCTGGAGGGCTAGCAGGTAATTTGAAAGGAGCTGGCCTGCCAGTCTCCACCTCATCAGCAGCTACTCTTGGGCCCTTCTCTTGCCAAAGGGCCCACGTTAGGCACTTCAGAGTCCTTACGGCTGAGAGTCTGATCCTGCATCCTCTCAGTTCCACTTTTGTGACTTTCCTGCCTCTGAGAAGAGTCTCCAACTCATGCAAATGCCACTCTGAGGGCATCCTTCTTCTGACTCACACCTTCCTGTCACTTCCCACCGCTCCAGGTACCCAACAAAATCTGTGGCAGGCTCTTCATGGGTAGACCCCCCCCTCCCCTTTTCCCCGCAGCTCACACCTCTGCTTGAATGCCCTGGCTTCTCTCGAGTTTCCGAAACATTTCCTCTCCCTCTGCCACCGTCCACCTCATGCATTGCTCCTTCCCAGGACTTCTCATCAAGCTGATTTTTGCTCAACTCTTCATGCTTGGCTCTGTGTTGCTTTTTAATGTTTTCCCACAGTGCTCCTGTCTTACATGGCATCTCATTATCTAGGGGCCAGGACTCTCTTATAGCTTGGGAAGGAGGAGCTTAGAGGCTGGCCCCCCCCTCCAACCCTGGTTACAGTTGCTCTCAGGAAGGCCCTTCCCACAGGGAGCCTCTTCTGGAATCCAAGAGTCTGCAGAAAATATTCTCAACGTACTCTCACTCAGGTCTTACTGTACAAGTTGAAGTGGAGGTAGATGGGGGAGAAGGGAAAGCAGCAGCAAAACCTTTTGCTTCCTGGCTCAGGAGGGCTGTGCTTCTCTCCCACAGCTGCTGACTGTGTCCGACTCTCAGTTCAGAACCTCTCCAAGTTGGCAGACACTCTCCCTGCACCCGAGGTGAGCGAGGCTGTGAGCCTCATCCTGAATTTTGTGAAGGACTCCTACCCCATCTCCTCTGCGCTGCTCCTGGAGTTTGAGAACGGGGAAGGCTACCCTCTGCTACTCAAGGTACTGCTGCGGTAAGTGGCCTGGTGAGCGGGGAGGGAAACGTGACCCAGTCAAGCTGTGGCGCTCAGTGTTGTCTGGATGCTTTGGTGGGAGAAAAATGGCAAGAGTGTTTCAGCATATCATGGAATTCAAGGCTCCTAAGAGCATGGTAGGAAGACCTCGTCCTGCAGCAGTAACTCAGCATGCAGATAGACATGGAAACCACTTCTTTAGGGAATCAGTGAGTGACAATAACAACCACTTTAGCTAGTCCATTGAACGGCACACAACACCTGCTTGTTGCTGGCCTGACTCCCATCTTTTAGAGCCCATGGGAGTCGCTCAGATGCTTTCTGGGGTCTGCTGCAATATACCCTACCTCAGTGTTTGGAGGGCTGTGTAGCCCTCCTTCAGCTCTTCATCACCGTTGGAACTGATGGGTAACTACCCCATAAAGTTGTCCTCCGTACGCTTCCACTCCATGCTCTCACAAACCCCTGGTACAGTCATCTGGTGAGACAGTCACTGAGAACGCCTCTCAGTGAGCTTCCTTTCGCTTGCCACCTCACAAGGCCTGTCCCCCGCTTGTTGTTTCTGAGATCAACCCTCAAGTGAAGGCCTTTTCTCCCAGACCTACGAACTATGGGAAAGGCATCGTGCATCTGGGGCTGGATCAATTTCTCCACTCTGGTTTGGGTGCCTAGGTGTTAGCATGAGCACTGGATGGAAATAAACAGAAATCCTTCTGTGGCCTGAGCTCTTCCCCTGAAGTTGGGGAAGCTGCTTCGGGGCAAGGCTGTGTACATTCCTTTGGGCTTGGCTTGGCTTCTCCTCAATGGAGTGGACCTGAGCAAGTCTTTGACAGACTTCATGACAGAAGCATGCTTCACTTGCACTGCAGGAGATTTGGATGAGAGAGGCTGAACGCTCTCAGTGAAGAATCTCCATCTCTACAAGGCTTCAATAAAGCAAAGCTGTCCTTCAAAGGGATGTTAAGAATACATGTTTTGGGTATACCATTCCTGCACAGTAAGCAGCCTGGTTAGTGGCCAGATGGCTGTGGCCACTGTGGTGCCCTAGATAGAATTTTTTATGTTTCCTCTGTTCAGTAACTGGGCGCTTTTCCTAGGCTTTTTATGGAGGACAGAGGGAAACTAGTGTGAGGAGGTGGCTGCCCAGCTCACTGCCTTCTCGCCCTGTCTTTCCAGGAGCCATGTTTCACGTGCTCCTCACCTGTAAAGGGCAGAGCTGGACAGACTCCAGGGGCCCTCCTGCCCTATAAGTAAAGAAAGATACCTCCTGACCATTGTCAGGTAAACATGGACGCCATCAGCCATAGGCTGGGCATGAGGAAGACTTCAGAAATTCACATCTTTCCCAGGCTGTCTAGGTTTTCTTTTTCCTCCCTGGAAATAGCAAGCCTTCCATTCTGGAGGTGCCCTCTGCTCTGTGAGCCTCTTAAGTTCATGCCTTTTGGGAATCCAGCCATAGAAAGCAGCCGTTCTCTAAACAAGACTACACTCCCTCACAGGTTCCTCTGTGTAGCAGTCTTTGCTCACTGACAGAGCTCCAGTGGACATTTTCGGCAATGGATCTTACAGAACCAGACAAATACATGTTTTCTCATCTACATACATACTGATAATCAAGCTGAATCTGTAAATTGTTCATAGTAGGAGGTTAACAATAGTTAATAGCAAAATACAATATTTATATGGTAGCTATATTATAACAAGTTAATTTAAAGCATGATATTTTTATTTCTGGAATTCTTAGTTGATCTCTCTCTCTATGTGTGTGTCTGTGCTTTGAAATTTTATTTTATCTTCTTTTATTTTGATAAGGTCTCATGTAATGCATGCAAATGACTCAGGCTGGTCTCAAGCTTTCAATACTATTAAGGATGATCTTGAATTTCTGATCCTCCTGCCTCCACCTTCTGAATTTTGGGATTATAGGTAAACATCACCACAACTGGCCTTATACAGTGTAGGGATCAGAACCAGGGCACTGTGAATGCTAGGCAAGTACTCTACCAACCGACCTACACCCCAGTTCTAGTTGATGTCTTGAGGCCACAGCTGACTAATGACAATAGAACTATAGAGTGCAAAGCACAATAAGAGGGAACTGATGGGAGTCAGAGAGATGGCTCAGTGGTTAAGAGCCCTTCCTTGCTGCTCTTGTGGAGGACCATTTTCAGTTATAAACACCTACAAGGTGGCTTACAACCATCAGTAACTCCAGTTTCAGGGGCGCCAGCATCCTCTTCTGACCTCTGCAGGCACACGCAGTGCAAATATATCCGTGCAGGCAAAATACTCATAAAACAGAAGTGAATAAATCTGATTGCACTTCACTAGGTGGAAGGCTGGAGTTTGCATTGGAGTGATGTTTATGCAAGGCCCTCTCCTTGCCTTTGGTGCTGATTTCTCCCCGAAAAGAGACCTTCTGGTCTTTCTGAGGGGGGCTGTATGCAATGCAGCCTCTCCTTCCAGGAGCTGACCCTGTTTTTCCTGCAGGTATGATGGGCTGACCCAGGGTGAGGTGGAACCCCACCTCGAGGAGCTCATCGAGCTGGTGATGTGGCTGACAACTTGTGGGAGGGCAGAACTGAAGGTGTTTGACAGTGTCACTTATCCTCAGCTTGAAGGCTTCAAGTTCCATCTCGAGGCTTCTGGTGGGTCCTCATTGTGTCTCCAGGTAACTGGAGAGTCAGTCTTATGTCTCGGAAGGCTCTGCAGGTCTCTGATTCCATTTGCACCTGTCTATCATGCCACATGGTCTGATGCTTCTGTGACCTTCAGAGACATAACCAGACCCATGGACATTGAATCTCCCCTTAACCGACTTTCCACCTGTGAAATTTCAGCTTTGCGACAAGGAGTTCATTTTGTGTAGCAAGTGGAGGGAATATTGCTTAACAGAGGCAAAGCTGCATGGAAGCATTGGCAAATGCCTGACCTCTAGTGGGTCTTTTAGGAAACCCTGCACAGACAACCCACTGAGGGAAATTTGAAGGCTAAGTCTGAGTTGTCTAGGTTGAAAGGAAGGGAAAGAGTTTAATGGCACAAAGTACTGAGCCAGGAAGAGACAGTGGTCTGAAGCAGTTGGGTGGGTCTGGAGATGCAAGCAGGGGCAGGAAGTGACAGGATGTGAGGAAAGGCTGCAAGCGCCAGGTAGAAAAGGGCATTGGGTAGGACCTAAGCAGACAAAGAGGGTCAGATGTGACTGGCAGGGGAGAGCCTCCAAGTTATTAGCGAATTCAAGGCAGAAAGGGGGCTTTGGACCAGAAGTCCTGGGGTTAGAGAGAGTAAATGGGAGGAAAAAGGCCAAATGGGTAATGAAAGTGCAACCAATTGCCTGTCTAGAGGACAACCTGACATTGTACCATCATCTCCATCATCTTTTGGTGGTAGTTGGTGGAAACCGAATCTCCAGGCCCGGCTGTGCTCAGTGGTGTGGATCGTCACTTTCCCGTGATTTTAAATAGGAAGAAACTGGTTGGATTGCTTCTGATTGATCTACCTCAATAGATCCCCCAATCTACCTTAACGTGCATCTGTAGACAGGGTGGTTAATGGGCTCTCATTGCTCGGTTCAGAGTGGCCGGAGCTGCAACACTATTAGCTTCTCTTTGGAATAGATGCAGCCCTGCAGCCCCTTCTCCACCACAATGGCTGGAGTCTTGAGATTTCCTGCATGTGTACTCTTGAACTAAAAAAGAGAAATGACAGATTCTTTGTCCTGCCGAGAACTCAAGTATGCATTTCTAGACAGGCAGGGAGCTAACTTGCGGAACTGTTGTTTTTTTCGCCGCCAGGGGTGACTGTTAAAAATCTCCAGGCCTTCCAGGTCCTGCAGAATGTTTTCCACAGAGCCAGTGACGCTGTCCTTTGCACCCAAGTGCTTTCGGCCATCAAGACCATGTGGGCCTGGAACCCTCGAAATTTCTTTCTGCTGGAGTGGACGCTGCAGCCCATCTCCCAGTTTGTGGAGATTGTGCCCCTGAAGCCCACCCCCGTGCAGCTGCGCTTCTTCCAGCTGCTGGAGACGCTGGTGTTCAAGTTCCTCTACGTGCCCCATGAAATCCTGGCGAAGGTGCAGCGTCTGATCAAGGAGAGCCCAGAGCACCCCTGCACCCTCATGGCCTTGCAGAGCATCCTCAGGATCACGGCCAGTGACCAGCTTTTCACAGACATCTTCCGGGACTCAGGACTACTAGGCCTGCTGCTGGCCCAGCTCCGGAAACAGGCCAAGATCATGAGGAAGTCAGGTGCCTCTTTAGAGGGGTGGGCAAGCGGGCTGAGGTGGTTGTTAGCTAGGCGGTGTTAGCTAGCTACTCTGCAGAGTGACAGAAAATGCAGTATGTGCATCGTGCTGTGGTGGACAGAGAGAGGAGCTCCGGGGCACGTAGCTTCGCACAGAACAAGCAGTCTCTGAGTCTTCCCCAGAGGTGTTAGGGACAGACACCATTTTAAGTGAACTCCAGAAACTGACTCAAGGAATTCTCAAGTTATTGTTGGACATACCGGTGAAAACCATCAGGGAGTCTGATCCTTCAGTACGGCAAGGGGATACTGGAGCCTGTAGTGGCCTGGGCTTTGGGGGCCCTTTTGGGGTCTGCTGGGGTGTGGCTTGTGGTCTCCCACTGAGAGTAGGGTTCCAGAGCCCTGCTGCCTCTCAGTCTTCATGGCCTACACACCTACTTTACCATGGCTCATGCTTGCCCCACTGGGGACACTATACATGGAGCGTTGAAATCCTCACCTCCAAGGATTTTCAAACAGGAGCTAGGCACAGCCTCCTTTCCCCATTCCCTTTAGTTTTATCAAATCTTTCACTCCCTGCTGCCCTTGGAAGCCAGCCTGGAGGGGGGTCGGCAGGACACAGGAATCCAGCTGCTCGCTTCTCCCCACCTTTCCCTTCTCTCCATCCCCTTTGCTTCACTGGTGGGATGGGCCCGGAGGCTTCTCCAGTCCCCACATGCTTTTGGAATTCAGCGTCAGATTTTAGTCAAAAGGGCTAAATCTGTCTGTTTTCTGTTTCTTGGGAAAGAGGAAGCTGATGGAGAATGTGTTAGTGTGGGGACCTGTCAGTCTTGGCGGGAAGCATGGCTGTGGTAGAAGCAGGATGATCTTATCCTGTTACCTCACGTCTACGAGGCCATTCTCTTCTCTGCAAGATGACAGTAGCTATGCTATAGGCCTTGTAAGAGTTAAAGGGAAAGCACTCAGTATTATGTGCGGCATGTAAAAGGTGCCAGGAATTCTCGCACATGTTGGTGTCCCTGTCGCTTCAGTCTTGCTCTGTAGAAGACGAAACCTAAGCACCTTCAGGTGTTCAGGAAAGAACTGAGTCCTACCCCAGAATGTTTACAAATAGGATCAGGATGTAAGACAATGTGTTTCCAGGATGCTTTTGTGTGTCTAGGCCTTTAGTGAGACCAAGCCTTGGAAGTAGGTGCCTCTATACTTCTTTCTCTTGCTTGGTAGTTTGGGTCTGTTTTCTGTTACTATAACAAAATGCCATAGACTGGGAAATTTGCAAAGATAGTTTATTTGCATTCCAATGATATATTCTCAATGCTGTCTTCCCAGATAGAAGTTTATTTGGCATATAGGTCTGGAATTTGGGGAGTCCAGTATCATGGTGCCAGCGTATGGAGATGATTTTTTTTTAATTTTTATTTTTTTTAATTTTTATTATTAGTTACATTTTATTAACCCCGTATCTCAGCTGTATCCCGTTCCCTCATTCCCTCCCAATCCCACCCTCCCTCATCTCCTCCCTGCCCCTTTCCAAGTCCACTGATTGGGGAAGACCTCCTCCCCTTTCATTTGACCCTGTTTTATCAGGTATGAGAAGATGTTCTTGCTCTAGTACAACACATAAGGAGCATAGCACAGTGAGATAGCTCAGTCTTGCCAGTTTATACAGCCCATCTTCATGACTTTATCCAATGCTAATTACTTCCCAAAGGATGTACCTCCAAGTACCTTTAAGGGTGAGTTAGAGACTCCCAGCACAGGGCTTTGGGGGAAGCCTTCTAACCATAGCCAACTTCTTGCCTTCAGTAGCCTCCTGCATGAAGTTAACACAGCTGATCCCTTGCTTTCCTTGCTGTTTATAGGGAAGGCAGGACACAGTCTCATTGAATGGCACCCTAGACAGACGGTGCCTTTCTAGCAGCTTAAGATCAGATCTGATTTTCGATCCAACCCCAGACTTACAAACATTCCCAGAAGAGTTTAGCTTCTCCCGGGAGCCAGTGTTTCCAGTCTTAGTGCTTTGCATTTTTAAATGTGACCTATTGATTCTTCTGCACTCCGTGTCTGGTAAATAAATTCTTCTTGTGCTCATTCATTTACTTATTTTGATTCTCCAAATAGAAGCTAAGTTTGCTTTCCCAGCACTGGGGATCAGCAGTGGATGAAGAGACCTGGTCTGGTCCTTAGGATCTAATGGCCTGTCTATCTGTTCCATATCCCCTCACGCTACTTTTTAGCTCAGGCAATGAGCTAGCAACTGTCTCTTCTAGATACGTGTGGCAGGCTGTATGGGGAAGGTCAGGGTGGCAGGGCTTGCTTTGTTATCAAGAGTGGTGTTTCTTGGAGCGGGGTTGCTGCAATAGGTCCATCGGCCTTACCTGGGAGCGTGTTAGAAACAACAATTACGCAGCCTCACTCCAGGTCTAACCCACCAGCTCTGAGGAAGGTGCTTAGCATAACCCTTTGACTCTCCAGATTTCTGACGTGCTCAGGCTGGAGAGCCACTGAGGTTAGGGGTTCCCAGGTTGTATCTTCAGAGTTGGGATGCATGCTCCCTTCTAATGGAAGCATTGCAATCATGTCTCCTTATGAAGGCAGGACACCAAAGGAGGAAGAGGTTGTGGGTTGTGCCGTGGAGACCTAGTACGTATTTATTGACTCTTAAATGTGACAGGAAAGAAAGAGTCCAATCCCGGTGTGCAGGATCCAGAGAGGGAACTCACCTGTGTGATGCTGAACACTGTGGTCACGCTTCTGCAAGGCTCTGTTCGCAATGCAGGTAATCATAGCTCTAACCTTACCCCGTCAGTCTTCAACAGAACACGGACTGTGAGTCACCTATGACTGTTCAAAGGTGATTCAAGAGTTGGTATCAGCATGGTGGCTAATGTTCATGTCCTGGTTAGTATTTAGTGATCATCCGTAAAATATACAACTCTGTTGACTCTTGTTGATATTGTATAGTAAAGTTGGTGGGTAAAGAAATGTTGTTTAATATAGCATTTTCTAAATTAATGAGGCTACAAAACTCCTTTCCTTTCTTTTAAAGTAAAATGTGGTGGCACCCTGCGTCATTGAATAGAGATGCCTTTTATAAACCACAAAGTGAAACACTAAAAATATTAATCCTTCATGTTTTTCTTTAAAAAGAGATTCCTCTCCACAAGGAGAGCAACAGAACCAAAAAAATCTGAGCACAGGGGTCTTTCCTGAGACTGATACTCCAACCATGGACTATGCATGGAGATAACCTAAGACCCCTGCACAGATGTAGCCCATGGCAGTTCAGTATCCAAGTGGGTTCCATTGTAATAGGAACAGGGACTGTCTCTGACATGAACTGATTGGCCTGCTCTTTAATTACCTCCCCCTGAGGGGGAAGCAGCATTACCAGGCCACAGAAGAAGACAATGCAGCCACTCCTGATGAGACCTAATTGACTAGGATCAGAAGGAAGGAAAAGAAGACCTCCCCTATCAGTGGACTTGGGGAGGGGCATGCATGCAGAGGGTGGAGGAAGGGAGGGATTAGGACAGGAGGAGGGAGGGAACCACGGGGGAGGGATACAAAGTGAATAAAGTGTAATTAATAAAGAATAAAAAAAAGAAAAAAAAAGAGATTCCTTTTTGTATATCAGTATAGGGCATGAAGCAGATACATAGTTCTGCCAACAGATTTGGTGATTTAGATACAAAGGACACTGAGGCCCTTGTAGAGTGATTATGCTAAGTGGAAAAGCCTGCTATTCCATTTTAGCACAGGAAAGCCTGCAAAATTTTGCCTGGAAGTCCTGGTCAGAATTCACATTTCTGGGCTGACTCTCAGACATTTGATTGGTAGTAGATGGAGGTCAGTCTCAGAAATCTACTTTTGAGCAGGACTGTCAGCATGATTTCCATTTAGAAGGAGTATGGCTATGATTTGAGTGTCATGACTCAGGACCCTAAGGGCATAAATCCACATTAACTCTTTGGTCAAGTCAAAACTGAGTCTTTACTCCATGAGAATGAATCCACATGCCAGTCCTTGGCAAGAAAAGCCTGAGATTGCCTGTAATAAAAGAAAACCATAATTAGATTCCTTTAATTTTCTCCCCAGGAAAAGACATAAGAAATTAAATATGTCCCTAACTTAAATTCTGGTTTGTGTTCTATAAACTTTTGGAGAAGATAGGATTCTAACCCCAGGAAAGAAGCTATTCTCAATTGATAGCTCCTGGGAAAGGAAAAATCAGTTTTGTTTTCAGTGGAGTGACAGCGGGCACATCAAAACACCCCAGGGCAGGCCCCATGCTCAGGAGTAGTTGGCCAACAATACCAACACAACACAGACTCCATGTCTTTGTGGGTATTTTTGGGTATTTTTTGTGGGTATTTTTGGTGTTTTTTTTTTTTTTTTTTTTTTTTTTTTTTTTTTTTTTTTTTTTTTTGAGAAAATATCTAAAATTGGGTAAGTAGGTAGGTAGGTTTAGGAGGGGGAAAAATATGATCAAAATATAATGTATAGAATTCTCATCGAATAAGTAAACAAATTGAAAAAAGAACCTTGGCAGAGAGGATAAAGAACTGGTTAGGGAATGAAGGTAAATAGATGGACCACTCAAAGGCTATATAATACATGGTTATTAAGTTTAGTCATTATGTCACACAATGAGACTTTTGAACTTATTTTATCCTATCTTGAACTTTTGTGCAAGGGAAGATGTTAGCAATTTTTTTTTCTTCCTCAAAATAGAATTTCCATCGTTGAAGAATACAGTTTTTCTTCTTAATTCTTCAGCACCGAAGTTTCTCTTTCTAATGAATACATTACGGGTGTTGATAAAACCATTTACCGAAAGAATGAACTGTAATGTACTTGGGAAGTTGAAAGTGAAAGCCTTCTTTGTGATGGAATTGCAATGCCTTGGGTCCACCTTTCCTTAGCCCTGTCCTCTGTCTTGTCCCCAGTTGTCCTTAAAGATCACGGCATGGTGCCCTTCATCAAGATTTTCCTGGATGATGAATGCTACCGAGGGGCCTCACTCAGAATCTTGGAGCAGCTCTCAATCATCAATGCAGAGGAGTACATGAGCATCATTGTGGGGGCTTTGTGTTCATCTACTCAGGCAGAGCTGCAGCTGAAGCTGGATCTTCTCAAGGTGAGGTCAAGTCCTTTGTAATTGGCTTTCTCAGGTCCATGCACCAAATGATTTGTTCATGCACTGGTCCATGGTGTTGGGTAGGTAGATAGTTGTGTCAGGCAGTTTTAGCTGCTGTAAGGAATAAGTACCATATGCTTAGCTGCCTGACACATAAATTTCTTGAAACAAGGTCTCATGTACTCAGGCTGGCATCAGACTCGCTATGTAGTCAAGGATGACCTTGAGCTTCTGATCCTACTGCCTCCACCTCCTTAGTTCTAGGAGTTCAGAAATCTGGCCTTAAATTTTTTTTTTTTTTAATGGAGACTCCACAAGTACTTGGGATTGCAATTCAGGAACAGCTGTCACCCAGGGACTTAACTCAGCTGAAAGATAAGGGAAGACAGGCTAGAGAGAGTTACATAAGACATCTCATTAAGGCTGTGAATTAGCATGCTCTATCTTCTTTTCAGTTTTCTTTAGACAGACTTTTGAGCAGCACTCTATCAGCTGCAGGGGGTGATGGGAAATGTAGTCCTTGGCCAGTCAGCAACTAGCCAGCACCACTGTATATCAGGAAAGTGGGGTGTGAGTTAGTGGTGGCCTGACAGGTACTCTGTTGACTCTATTTACTGAGCATCAACCGATGATCAGGTCTGGTGAGAGCACTTGGGACACACACAAGAATGAGACATAGCTCTTGCTACTTGGGAGCTTAGGAACCCATGCTCATAGTACATGAGTGCTGATCCAGACCTCAGGGAGGGTGGGGGGGTTACGCTGCATAGATACTTCGTGTCTATAGGAGGCTGTGTGAAGAGAGTAATGGGAGAGTCTGTTACAGTTTAACCTGGTCCAGGAGCTCATAGAGGAGAGTGTGTAGCTAGAAAGGAAGCTAAAGAGACCCAAAGCTGTAGGGACAGGGGCACAAATGGACTAGCAAGTCTGAGTTATCACGTTTATATGGTACAGAGAAGTATTATTTTTGTAATATTGCCAATAATTATCAAATGATCTTAAAGTACTTCAAGAAATACATACTATGTTAATTTATCATCCTTTTATAAGTTTTTGCTGTTTTTATTTCCTTTATTCTTTTGTGCTTTATGCTTTGTAAACATTCTCTTTGGGAGCTGGTGTGGTGGTACATTCCTTTAGTCCCAGCACTCAGGGTGAAGTGGCAAGCAAGCCTATGAGTTCAAGGCCAATCTGATCTATACAGAGGTCCAGACAAGCCAGAACTATGAAAATGCTGAGACCCTGTGTTTAAAAAAAGAACAAGAACAAAACAAAATGAAAAACCTTCTATTTATTTCTTGTCTTTTCAGTTGTAACCCTGAGTCTTTAATGGCTGTGTCATCAATTGCTAGTTAAAAAAACAAAAACCAAAAAACAATTCTCTTTAGTTTTATGCTGTTTGAGTGAAGGGACATAAATGCAAGTATTCCTCTGTAGATTTAAGCAGAACTTGTCACCTCTGTGTATGACACAACCCAAAAGAAACATATTCTTGTTTCCTGAACTTGTCATATCTGGTTCCTGAGGAACGTTAGGAAAATTATGAAATTGCTCTGACGCCAAACCTAACGGGCTTGGCATTGGTTCTCTCTCCACTATTCTTTCTAATGCATGGAGTGTGGAGTTGGGTCTTTGTCTCTATTTCTCTGCAGAGTCCATGCTAGACATTGAGGGAGTCATTCCTGTTGCCACATGGCCTCACCTGAAGAACTAGGAATAGCCACAGAATCCCAAGAGGCTCCAGGGAGAATGACTCCATGATCATACTTATGAATTTCAAGGATGATAAGAACTCAAGTAATGATTTAATTACAGTGCAAAAAGTGAGCGAAAGGAAGTAATAAACACAAAAGAAAGCTAGAGGTCTTTTGAAAGCACATTAATGCCATAATGATGTGAGCTAAGACAAAAATAGTGAATGCTAGAGTGAGGCTTTGTGGTAGAGGGCTTACCCAGCAAGAGGGAGGCCTGGAAATCCAATACCTACCACCAGAGAAGGGCAAAGAATTTGTTGAAAAGTAGTGATGGGAAAGACCTGAGATTAATATGGACTGGCTCTCTCCTGTTTGAAACAGAAGCATGCAGAGGGCTGCAAAGATTACTGTCACTCAAATGATAAGCCTGGCAGCTGAGAATGGAGCAACTGCCCCTTGATGTCAAGCTTCTGTTAGATGGATTTGAGTGTTCTGCTAGGAAGGGGGAAGGTAGAACCACAACCGGGACTTTGGTTTTCCATTGGGTAAAAAATTATTTCTGATATGTTCATAGTAAAATCTAGACTGACCCATAGAGAAGAAAGCTATGCTCTAACTCTTCTGGGAAACAGAAAGGAGCTTCCCATCCTTCATGGAGAGCGCTCTGTCTGTCTTGTTCAGAGAGAGTTCATCTTGTTTACTCTGCAGCTCAGAGGCGTCTTATTGGAGTACTAGCCCCTGGGTAATAGGACGGAACTTCTAGAATTAGCAATGCAAAGCCATTATGGTGTTTTACAGATTCAATATAATTTCAGAATTGCAGCACCAAGAGAGTTCATAAGGAATGAGCCTTCTGTGAGCTCATTGAACAAAGTCAGAGCCACAGGCTCCCCTGCCGCCTTCTCACTCCCAGGCTCTGCTGGGCAGTTAGGAGGCCTCAGGAGCTGCCAACACCCTCAATGGACTAGGGCTGCTACACACTGCTGTGCAGTGGAAGAGAGAGGTGGGTCCCCAGAGCCTAGTCCGGATTCTGAGTACATGAGTAGTAGCTAGTGAATGTTCCCTGAAATCGGATGTGGGATCTGTGACTGTTTTAAAATCATCTGAGAGATCCTCGCAACTTCGCAAACATCCGTGTGAAACGAGCTCTCTTTGGCTGGATCACTACTTCAGACCTTAAAGGCTGGCTGTGCCCATGGCATTGGGTTTACACAGAGGGTCAGAGAGAGGATGAGGGGACCCATTATGGAGTGTTGGGGCCAAGGCAAGGAGGCAGGCAGTGTCCTTCCTAGTGTGGTTGCCATCTCTGGAGGCCACTCACATCACACATATGAAGACCACCTCAGAGTCGATGTTTCCAGAACCCAGCGGCACCTCCGCATCAACACCAAAGCTGTGCAACTACACCACCAATTCTGGCAAAGGATAACTAAGTTAAAGGATAATGTAAGCAAATGAATTTCCTCCCTGTGGCCAGGGGGACTGTGATTGGGTTATGCACAAATTCAGATTGATTTGCTAATATACATTTAGCTGTTCAACTCTGAGCTTAATCACGTTACCTCACCAGTCTTCCAGCATGACACATGGAAAATTATGAGGAATAACAAATAATAGGATGTGAAATAAATCCTGTTAGCCCTAATGCAGTTAGCGCCATGCAGCAGACATCCATTTTATAGATTCAGGCCAGAGGAATACTAACTCAGAGCCGATGACACCATAACTGAGTTAAGGACGAGAAAATGCGCTTAAGGCTGACCTTTCTTGAAATGTGTCAGCCCTATCCTGATTACTTTGACTTCTGTTGATTCAATTTATTCTTTTCTGCAGACTCGGAACCCTGTGTGATACATTATCATGCAAAGTTGAATGACAGTAATGGAGACCCCTCCTCCTAGGGCCCCAGCTCCTGACTAATCATTTCCCGAAGTCCCGAAATATTTATTTTCCTTTATGATAGAAATGTTTCTCTTTAGTTGCTATGAAATTAAGCCTTTGTAATTGGATTTTGGACTCTTTACTTTATGACTCTGCAAATATGAAATTAACCCCATCCCAAGAAATAATAGAGCAGTCTACATTCTAATGAGATTACCCCCATTTTAGATAATGACCCAGAATTTAATAAATCGAACAAAGCAACAATTAAGGGCAGCCATTACTCCTCCCCCTCCCAAACAGAGGGAAGAAAGTAGCCATCTAGGTGACACCCACTGAGAGGCACAGATCACGGGTAAAGATTACTGTTGGACTGATTATCCTGTAAAATATCTGTTCTTACCACTCATGGAAGGATGGATGGAACTCTTCTTAGCTATGTCTGGCATCAGGTTGGACCACTGAAATTTGCTTCCTGTGGAGACCAGGGGATGTTCCATGGCCATCCAAGTGCTCAGACAAAGAACTACAATCTTTTAAGGCTTCCGCTTTAATCATTCTTCCCTCTTGCATTTGCTTTGGCCTGTGCCATGTGACAAAAGCTCTTTCTTCATTCCTTTTGCTTGAAGCCTTCCTCCTAGTGGCCAAGAGCCGCTAGAAGCTCTCATAGAAACTGTTTGATGTCATTACTTACGGGTTTTCTAATGTCTTGGTGACTGACTTATTTTTTTTTCATGGCATGTATCGCATGACCAGGCACAAAGTCAGTCTCAGAGAAGTAGACTGATTTGCATGCTCATATGCTGTGTGGATCATCACTTAGAAGGAAGAGGCCAAAACTTATGCCCATTTCATAGTTAGTTTCCTCTTTAGCTGAGGAAATGCTGCTTAGTTCATGCACAGAGGGGTTTCTAGAGATAATGGCAGGTAGCTGTGACTGTCTATAAGACAAGGGCCTTGGGCAGTGTGTATCGTGAGCTTTTATATTTCCTGAGCATCGCCCTTCTGGGGTAACCTTGCTCTGACCCATGACACATACTTCTCTTGAAGGACTTGTCTGTGCCTTGTGCTTTTGAGTACCCAGGTTTCCCTGTCTCTTGACTTTTCACCCATCAGGCTTTGGTTTGTCATCTTAAGCCATGTGATTAAGTCACAGCATTGGCTTTTGGCCCAAAGTGGGAGTCTCTTTTTCATTTTTGACCTTTGAACTGTATCTTAAGCATCCAGAGTTGATTCTGAGCTATGTCCCTTTCCTTGATTTAGCACAGTGTTAACCTTTTAAAAGAATAAAGCACTTGAAACCTGTCTCCAGAGCCTACTACACAAAGGCCATCCGCCATCCAAACATGTGATGGCCAGTCTCAGATGGGTTCCAGTGCTATCTTTCAGGTCAATGCCCAGGACCATAGGCTTTAAATATTTGTGTAAAGTTGTGCATAACTATTTCATTCCCCCTCTCCATATCTTTCCTCTTTTCTTTCTTTCTTCTCTTCCATGTGAGGAATATCTATTATGCAACAGGCACTGTGGGCATTAAATGTACTTTTTAAGTGCTCTGTGAAGGATTTATTTTACAGAGAAATAAGTTGGCCTGTAGGCAGATGTCTCAGCCACCTGGAGGGTGGTGCATCGTGTGTGTGCTCTGGCTACTTGAGCTAAATTTCCCACTCAGGGTCTAGTCTGTCTGCTACTTATGCAACTTGGATATTATGATTTATAACCGTCTAATCCTATGATTTATAACAGCAGATAGTTACAGTTAGGAAGTAGCAACAAAATAATTTTATGGCTGGGGGTCACCACAACACGAGGAACTATATTAAAGGGCCGCAGCATTAGGAGAGTTGGGAACCATTGCTCTAGAGCGAGTTTCGACCCTAGCCCACAGGTTTGTCCTGCCTTCTGGAGAGCCTCATTTTACAACCTGCTGCTGGGCACAGTGCCTTTCCTCTCTCCTCACGTGGCAAAGCCCTGCTGCTTGTGTGGAGAAGGAGATGAAGACTAAAAAGCCGAAGCTGTACCATGTCACTATGTGTCTTCTTCACATTGGAGGACCAGCATTTTCCTCACTTAGGGAGTTAAATGCAGCTGAGTTCTCCTGGGCTAAGTCTGCTGTGGCTCCTTATCAAATCGAGTCCCAGTTTGGTAGAGAGCTGAGGCAACTTTCTCTCAGGTGAAGTCGTGTGTGTGTGTGTGTGTGTGTGTGTGTGTGTTGTGAAGAGTTTTGTTGTCAGAATGGGTGAGGGCTAACTCTAGAGCAGTGGTCCTCACCCTTTCTAATGCTGCTACCCTTTAATACAGTTCATCATGTTGTGGTGACTCCCAACCATAAAATTACTTTGTTACTTCATACCTGTAATTTTACTACTGTTATAAACCAAAATGTAAATATCCGATATGCAGGATATCTCATTTGTGACCTCCCCTCCCCCCAGAGGAGTCACAAAACTCCTCTGGGGTTGAAAACTGCTGTGAGGGAAACACATTTATGTAAAGATGGCAGCAGGTAAATGGACCTTTAAAGGGTTTTAAGGAAAAGCACGCGAGGGCATCCTAAAGTAATAAGAACATGAGCAAGAGTGACATCACAGTGTTTAAGAACTGCCCACCTGGCTTGCCTAGTTTCTACACTGGGGACAAACAGCACTGCTCCTGGACAGATGTGTTTGTACGTGGCCCTGACGGCCTGCTGGATTTCACTTGTTTCCTTTGCTTGCTCTTTCAGTCTCTGCTCCGGATCCTGGAGACCCCCAAGGGCCATGCTGCATTCCGCATCTCCAGTGGGTTCAATGGACTGCTGTCCCTGCTCTCAGACCTGGAAGGGTCCCTCCAAGTGCCTGCAGCACCAACATGGGGTGCAGTGTCCCCCAGTCAGACCCTGGAGCTGGTGTTGCACACCCTTTGTGTTATGTCTGCCGCACTGCACTTGGACCCAGTCAACGAGCACTTCTTCAGGAGCAATGGGCTTTTTGAGAAGCTGGCTGAGGACCTCTGTCTGCTGGGCTGTTTTGGGGCCCCAGATGAGGGTAGTGCCCGGCAACACTCTTCCTCTGACCTGCAGAGCAGACCCTTCGTGGATTTGCTGAGCTCTGCCTTTTCCTCCAGCTGCCTGTTCCCACCCAGGGTGCAGAACTGCCTGCAGATCCTCAGCTTCCTAGAGAGCATGGCCAGCGGCACCCTCCACCTGCGCAGGGACCTGACAGAGCCCACCAGGGCTGTCCACGAGCCTTCTGTGGATGCTCAAAAGGGAGAGGCTGGCGGCCGCCAAGGCAAACTCAAGCAGTGGCCAGACCTGGAGGAGAGGTTAGAGTGGGCAAGCTGCTTCTGCTGTGGGTCACCAGTGTGTCTGTGGTTATTCCTTTCTTATACAGATGTCCCTGTGGATTTAAAGGGGAGGGAGGTCAAACTACAGAGAGTTGACAGGCTTTAAGACACTTGGGAGGCTCCAAGCTCCTCTATCTTGGGAGCTCATAGCAAATTTGACCCAAGTCAGCCTAGAGATGGAAGAGTGTGAATTTGGACAAGAGCCTACAAGGCTTCTGGATGCCTGGAAGGCAAGAGCAGGTCTCCATGAAGACAGCCTTTTTCCTCAGGGTCCCTCTGTGCTCCTGGGCATTGTGGTGTTTAGGTGGGTCTTCCTGAGTATCCAGGCCACCTTGGTTTCTGTGGCTTTGTCTCCTTCCAAGAGTGCTGCCAGGGGAGTGGGTAAGCTCTTTCAGCTTGTTAGGACCCAAACCACAGGGTTCAACCACAGGGCTCTTCCTTGTCTTTTGTGCTACATCCACTTTTCTTAACATAAGACTACTTTTCCCTTTCCACAAGCCATACCTCTCATTGGCTCAGACTTTTGCAAAAAACATTTGACTTTAGAACATAGTTCCACTGCAGGAAGGAATGTGAGATCCATCGCCACCCGTTTTGGGGTGGGAGGGGAAATGGGAGAGCATTTCTCAGTAGTGGATGTTCTCTTTCATTTCATACAAGCAACAAAGACAGATGACTTTAACTCTCTGGTGATGTCTATATTTGGAGACACTACAGTTTGTCCTGAGAAGGTCCCCATTTTCCAGAGGCGAGAGTGATGGCTGTTAAATCTCCATATACTGATACAATCATGAGACCTCTTTTGTTTTGTGGATAATTTGGTCTATTGAGTTTTCTCTTTCTAATCTTGCATCTTGTCAGTGGTGTTACCACCGCAAACATACCCACTGCCTGACCAGCTATTCCTGGGAGAAAGTATGCTCTTTACTATGTTGCCCAGACTAGCCTCAAACTTCTGCGCTCAAGATAACCCCAGCCTTGTGTGTTTCCAGGAATGCAGGTGTGTGCCAGCAGGCCCAGCTGTGCTCTTAGCATCTGTCTTCTGCTAGGTTGTTCTGCCTCTCATCTCGAATGACTTGCAGAGTGACTTCCTTGTCTCTCCTTCCTCCGGCATTTCGGCTGAGGTTCATTTTTAATTTGTCATTTGAACGGTGTTTGGCATTTCTTGTTTCTTTGGCCTCAGTGTTCTGTCGCCTTCTGACTTGTCCTTATTATTCTCTCCTTTCGGACTTATTTGGGAATCTTTTTCTTGCCTTGGGCGGTTAGGAGACTTATCTCTGTCTTCCTTCAAATCTGTGCGTTTCTCTGCCTTTTGTGGTCCACGTTTGGTACCTACTGTGTTTCGCTGTTACACAGTGTTGTGTTTTCCTGCTTCCCTTGGTGATCTGTGCTTGGTGGCTTTGAACTTGCAGTGTGGTAGACCAGCCCTGCTTACCTTTTGCTGTTCACTGCTACCATCACTGTAGGGAGACAAAGCTGATGGGGTTGTTCTTACTGTTTACAATTAATTGGCTTTAACTGCACGGGCATAAAGGTGGTAAATTTTCATAAGTACTCCATATGGGCATGGAAAGAACACACAGCCTCTAATTGTTAGAAAATGTTCAATTTTTGACTATCGAATCAAATTTGTAGTTTTTCCCATGTCATTAAATTGTTAAGTCAGCTTGACATGCCGTTGTTAAGAAAAACACATTTAAAACCACCGTAATGAAGAATATGTATCTATTAGTGTTTTAAAATTATTTTTAATTCTCATACAAAATGTTTTTTATGGCAATTTCATATATAAGTTGCTTTTGGCTGATTCTCTCTTTTCTATTTCTTTTTCCATCTCCCTGTCCCATCTCTTACTATACCTTTTAATCCTCAGCATCTCATTCTACTTTTATATCTCATGTGTTTTACAACTTTCCCCACTCTTCCTGAAACCCTCCTACCCCCCTCACAGACTCTTCTAGTTTCCTTGTCTCTACTCACATTTACCAATATATTCATATATATATATATATATATATATATATATATATATATATATATATATATGAATAAAGAAGTCCTGTCTTTTGAGCCTTGGTCACCTCTCCTAACAATGTATTTTCGATCCATTCATTTTCCTGAAAATTTTATTTTTCTTTTTGGCTGAGTGCAGTGTATCACATTGTCATCATCCATTAATCTATGGATAGACCTTGAGACTGATTTCATTTCATTGCTGTTGTGAATAAAGCCGTAGTGAACGTGGGTGCGACAGTATCTCTTGCGGGACATAATGTCCATTGAGAATATGCCTAAGAATGTCATCACTTGGTCTTAGCCTAGTTCTATTTGTCATGTTTTGATGCCTCCACGTTGATTTTTGTAGTAGTTGTACAAGTTTTCATTCTCACCAGTAATGATTAAGACTCCATTTCCTTTCAGATAGTTGCGAGCATTTGTTACCAGTTTTTGCTTGTTTGGCTTGGTTTGGTTTGGTTTGTGTGTGTGTGATAGCTATTCTGAATGGAGTGAGATGGAATCTTATGGAAGTTTTAATTTGTATTTCTCTAAAGGTAAAGGATGTTGAACACTACAAAAATACTTATTGGCACTTTGTATTTATCCTTTTTAAGAACTGTCTCTTCATTAGCTCATTTTGTTGATTGGAAGTTTTGTTTCTTTATTGTGTGTGTGTGTGTGTGTGTGTGTGTATGTGTGTGTGTGTTTTCAGTTCTTCATGTATTGTAGATACCAACCTCTATAAAATAGAGCTGGCAAAGATTTCTCTCCTATTCTGTAGGCTGCTGTCTTTTCAGTTTGATGATAGTTCCTTTTGCCATGGATAAATTCTTTAATTTTATATAATCTCATTTGCCAGTTCTTGGAACTATTTCCTGTGCTACCTAAGTCCTGCTCAGAAAGTTCTTGCCTCGACCTATAACACACTTTCTTCTAGCAGTTTTGTATTTAAGGTTCAAATTAAGACATCTCATTTTTAATTGATTATTTTTAAGGTGAATGATGCAGATCTAAGTTCATTCCTCTTCAAGTGTATATCCAGCTTCCATTTTTTTTTTTGTTAACTTTGTATTTTATCTAGTTTTTCTTTGTATCTGAATAGCTGAATTTTTAATGCAATGTTTTTCATCTATTAGCATTCAGCATATATTTTCTATGCTTGGTCTTCCAGTGATTGCCATGAAATTTAACAGGCCTTCTCAAAATGTTTAAAGTTAAATCTTATCTTCGTCTCCTTTTGTATCAATACAGAAACAGTTCTAGTGTTCTCAGTACTGTTACTAACTTGTATTTAACTGTTGATTTGTAGTTCTACTTCAGTTAACCTCTCAAATCCGTTATCTATTGTTTTTATTCAAAGTTTATTTAGTCTTATCTATGTAAATTCCTGTACCTCCTATTTTTCCTTGAACCTACACCTTTTAGCTATTGTTTTGTTTCTCAGTAGAACTGGAGTTTTTTTTTTTTTAATTTAAGGTTTATTTGTGATACACTCTCTTAAATTTTCTTAGTCCAAAAAAATATTTATTTCCTTCCTAACTGCTGGAAGACAGTTCTCTTGGAATGCACGTTGGACCAAGAGTGGTTTTCTTGAAACATGTAAAATGTCCCCTTACCTATTGGTTTCAATTATGGCTGTTAACTAATTGGCTTTTCTTTAGAAAAATGTTTGTCAGCACCAAAAAATTAATTTTTCATCTTCCTTTGGATTCTTTGAATAACTGCACCATTCCTGATTTACAGTTTCACTTCATGTATCTCCTTTTGGATGATTGTAAAGCTTCTTTCTGCCTGATATCCATGGAAATTGTTGTCCATCATCAATTCTGCATGTTTTTATTGCTTTTTTCTAACTTTTTGTTTAGTTTAGTTTTAATTTTCATTTTTAAATTTTAATTACAGTTTATTCACTTTGTATCCCAGTGGTAGCCTCCTCCCTCATTTCCTCTCAATCTTACCCTCCCTCCCTCACTTCCTCCCATGCCCCTCCCCAAGTCCACTGTTAGGGGAGGCCTCCTCCCTTTCCATCTGACCCGAGCCTATCAGGTCTCATCAGGACTGGCTGCATTGTCTTCCACTGTGGCCTGGTAAGGCTGCTCCTGCTGCCAGGAAGTGATCAAAGAGCCATCCACTGAGTTCATGTCAGAGACAGCCCCTGTTCCCATTACTAGGGAACCTATTTGAATACTGAGCTGCCATGGGCTACATCTGTGCAGGAGTTCTAGGTTATCTCATGAATGGTCCTTGGTTGGAGTATCAGTCTCAGAAAAGACCCCTGTGCCCAGATTTTTTGGTTCTGTTGCTCTCCTTGTGGAGCTCCTGCCCCCTCCAGGTCTTTCTACCTTCTTCTCCTTTCATAAGATTCCCTGCACTCTGCCCAAAGTTTGGTTATGAGCCTCAACATCTGCTTTGATACAATGTTGGAGAGAGTCTTCCAGAAGCCCTCTGTGGTAGGCTCCTGTCCAGTTTCCTGTTTTCTCCCTCTTCTGATGTCTGTCCCGTTTGCCTTTCTGAGTGAGGATTGATCATCTTACTCAGGGTTCTCCTTCTTCCTTAGCTTCTTTAGGTGTATGGATTTTAGTATGTTTATCCTATAATTATACTACTATCTACTTATGAATGAGTATATACCATGTGACTTTCTGCTTCTGGGAAACCTCACTCAGGATCTTTTCTAGTACCCACCACTTGTCTGCAAATTTCATGATTTCCTTGATTTTAATTGCTGCATAGCATTCCATTTTGTAAATGTTCCACAATTTCTGTATCTATTCCTCTGTTGAGGGGCATCTGGGTTGTTTCCAGGTTCTGGCTATTATGAATAAAGCTGCCACGAACATGGTTGAGTAAATGTCCTTGTTGTATACTTGAGCATAGTTTGGATATATGCCTAGGAGTGATATAGCTGGATCTTGAGGTAGCACTATTCCTAATTGTCTGAGAAAGTGCCAGATTGATTTCCAAAGTGGTTGTATAAGTTTACATTCCCACCAGCCATGGAGGAGGGTTCCCCTTTCTCCACATCCTCTCCAGCATGTGTTGTCACTTGAATTTTTGATCTTAGCTATTCTGATGGGTGTAAGGTGAAATCTCAGAGTCGTTTTGATTTGCATTTCCCTGGTGACTAAGTATGTTGAGCATTTCTTCAAGTGTTTCTCTGCCATTCAATATTCTTCTTCAGAGAATTCTCTGTTTAGCTCTGCACCTCGTTTTTTTTTAAATTGGATTACTTGATTTGTTGCTGTTTAACTTCTTGAGTTCCTTATATATTCTGAATATTAGCCCTCTGTCAGATGTAGGGTTGGTGTTGTTTTGTTCTCTTGACAGTGCCCTTTGCTTTACAGAAGCTTTTCAGTTTCATGAGGTCCATTTATTGATTGTTGATTTTAGAGCCTGTGCTGTTGCTGTTCTAACTTTTAAAAAATTATGTTCTGTAGCTTTTTGGAGCTAAGACAGATACGTAACTTACTAATCCATCCTGCCCTCTGTGTCCCAGCCACTCTGTCTTTCCTTCTCATCATCTCTTGGTACTCTCTCTTTCTTCAGTTTATTTTGTTCTCTTTTTCCAACTCACTAGAGTCTCCTATTAATTACCTAATCTGATGAATACCAACTAGCTATTTAGGCTTTGTTTCAAAATTTAAAGGATGCACGCGCGCGCACACGCACACACACACACACACACACACGTACATATGTACGTACACATGAGTGTTGCTCGGTCTTTTGCAAATCAACTTTATGGTCTTATGGTACTTTTCCTTGCCTCACATTTATGTTCCTTTTATTTCTTCAACCACATGAATCAGAACAATTTTATCTTCTGTGTCTTTTGAGAACCTGCAGCTGTCACTGAAGGTTTCTTGTGTGGGATATGACTTTTAATTTGCTCTTCTAAGGTTTTCATGAAAGCAATCCCTCTCTGGCTATCTTGAGTTTCTGAAGCTATAGAAATGTCGGCCTGAGTTGGTGGCTGTCCTGTATCAGCCAGGCCGTGCCAAACTCCCATGCTCTCTTGGCCTTGTGTGGGGAAGCATGTATTCTCAGGAGATCCAGAACTCCGAGTTCCAGGGAAGCCCTCAGAGGGGACCTCTGCTCCGGTGACCTAATGCCGCACAGGTTAACTTGGTATCTTGGTCAAGAAGCTTGTTCAGTTTACTCTACCAGCTCTTGGGGGGCAGAGCATGTTTGCTAGCATCAGATATCAGTGAGCAAGTGAGGAAAAGTGGAAGACCACTGATGGCTGTCCCTACTGAACTTCAGCGTTTATTTTGGTTAAGTTTCCTCCCACATTCTAGAATTCAGTGAGGAAACAGAGCCTGAGGAGGAACACAGCCCAAGGTCATGTCTGAGAGTCAGAATGTGAATCCAGTTGACTTCCAAAGTGTGCGTGCGTGTGTGCGTGGGTGCGTGGGTGCATGTGTGTGTGTGTATGTACACATGCATGCTTTTTGTATGTTTTCTTCCTGCTTTTTTCCTGCTGTTCCCACAATAGTGGTGATGAATTGCCAAATTAGGCTATCGCCGTGGCTTGAGAAGCTAGCATTTAAAGTTCAGGCTCTCTTCTACAGGGTGCACGACACTGCTTCTTTATAAATAACAGATATGTCTGACACCACCCAGCTTAGTGAGTAATTTCAAAATTTGTGAAGAACTAAATATCAAAAATAGAACAGTTTCCCTCAGTAAAACGTATGGTTGGCCTTGACCTTTCTTGGTGTTTAAAAGCAGGAAGTGAAACTCCAGCTCCCCGGAGAGCCATGGGTAGAGGGCAGGGCCATTAGCAGGCTGGGAATCACAGGCAGGCTATTGTCTTTGCCCCACACCTGACATGGAATCTTCTGGGGCAGGAGGCCTCTCTGCTCTCTCTTCTGTAGTGCCAACCACGTCTCCAGGGATGAGAGGCGGAGGCTGTGGGAGCTGGAGTCGGGCTGGCTCTGTGCCTTAGTGGTGTGTTTCCTGGGATCACTGTTTATGTCTGCCTGTGCTTCACTTCCTCGACCACGTGGGGGACCCTGGTGAGGGGAGGTAAGACCACAGAGTGTTAGGGGCAGTACAGCTGATGCTTTCTGAGCATGTTCGTACCATTCGCCTCTCTGGTCTTTTCACAGCAAGAGTTCATTTGACCTGTGTAACGTCTACTGTTTAAGGAATCTTTCTCACAAAATAGAAAACACAAGTTTCCAAAGAGATGAGTGAGCGGATAAAGGACCTTTCCACCAAACCTTGTGACTTGAGATCAAAAAACAAGCATGCAAATGTATAGATAAATAAATAGAAAAATAGAAAAAAATTTTCAAAACTGGAGACAACATGAAATGGAAGCTATGATGGCATCAGTCACTATTTCCTCTTAGGCTGGTTGGTGTGGCCTCCCAGTCTCCCTCCCCCTGAAGTTCCTCAGTATCAATTCTTGCTGAGGGGAGAGGGGCTCCTGGGCTAGGCTCGGATAAACCACAGGGGCTAACTTTGGCTGGATTCTCATCTACGGTCCCTACCTTCAAGTGACAAATTTGGTTTCTGATTTCTGCTGCTTTGAGGTCCCTCTCTCCCTCCCTCTCTTTCTCCCTCTCCTTTCTTCCCTCCCTCCCTTCCTCCTTTCTTTTCCTTCATTCTCTCCCATTACTGACTCTTTTTTTTTCATTCCGTCCCCTCTCTTTCTTTCTTTTCTTTTTATCCTCTTCATTGGGACTGAGGCTTTGAGAGCAGCTGGAAAGCCTGCTAGCCGTGTTCACCTTTGTTATTGGGAGGAGACTACCTCACTGTGCATGTGGGCAACCAATCAGGTCACAGCATACCATCTTCTTAATGTGCTTCTGAATTTAGCTTGTAGCCCTGTGGAACATTTTGTGTTGGTGTGCATCTGGGACCTTGGTCTGTAGTTTTGTTGTTGATGGTGTGTGCTTATCCAGTTGTGGTATCAGGGTTCCACTGACGTCATAGAATGAGTTTGTCAATGTCCATCCCCTTCATGCTTTGTGGAACAGCTTGAGAAACATCAGTATCAGCTCTTCCTTAAAAGTTTGGCAGAATTAAGCTACAAATCTGTCAGTCTGTCAGTGTAAGCTTTCCTCTTTATTTATTTCTTTTTAGAGATTTTAAAATTACATCTATGTCTGTTAATTCACTCATTTAGTGTGGGTGCGAGCACATGTCCATGCATGTGAGCACACATTTGTGTGGAGATGGGAGGACTGCTTGTGGGAGTTGGTTCTTTCCTTTTGCCATGTATGTTCTGGAGATGAACCTCAGGTTTTAATGCTTGGTGGCAGCACTTTCATAAACTGAACCACCTTACCAGCTCTGGACTTTTCTTTGTGGGGAGGTCTTTTGTCACTTCTGTTTAAGTTATTAATACTTTCTTGATTTAATTTGATAGTTCACGCACACTTAGAAATTTGTCCATTTCTTCAGTGTTTTCAGCTCTTTGGGATGTTTTGGTTGCTTGGGTGATTTGGTTCCTTTTTCCACACTGGCCTTTAGGAGTTTGCTGTTTGACTGTGTCGGGCACGTAGGCTGTTTGAGTTTAGACTTTTTTTCTTGAGTACTGTAAATATTTCACCTCAAAACAATGCTTTAGCAGTATCCCACAGATGTTTCCATGTGTGCCTTTTCCATTTCAGCTTGAAATACCTTTTTTTCCCTTGAGGTGTTGGGGAGACAGCTCAAGTTGTAAAAGTTCTTGCTTTGCAAGTATGTGAACATGGGTTTAAGTACCAGAACTCATGTGAAGAAAAATAAACCAGAGCACTGACCCTGCTCATAATCCCAGCAACAAGGACTTGCGTTGAGACAGAGATGTGTCAATGTCCCTAGAAGGAAGACATGGTACTGTCAAATCCATTTTACAGCTGGGCTACGTTGGGCTCAGATATGTCAGCTCAAGGTCATTTGATCATTGGGCGGTGCACTGAGAATGTTGATCATGGTCTGTTTTAGAAAGAAAGTTCTAGAACACTACACAAAAAGAGACCAAAAGAGCTCATGTCAACACGTGCCATTTTCCCGCTCTTCACAGGATGGATGAAGGTGACGTCCCGATCATGCATCCTGGGATCATATGCATCATGGTGAGACTGCTGCCTCGATTGTACCTGGACGCCCACCCACAGGTACCTCTTGATGGGCATGTGTACCTTGTCTCTGTTACCTGGCTGGTCTATGGAGTGCCCACTGCTGTGAGACTTTCTTTGTTCCTATGTACTGTGATTAGCAGAGCCACCCCTGGGCAGAACCTCTTGAAGGGTGATGTCAGGGTGTCTTGGACCCGTGATGAATCTGTGACCACTCTTCCAAGGGCATTCAAAGCAGTCCTTCCTGTGCGCTAGGTTATCTTCTAAAAGTGACAGGTGAAAAAAAACCCCACATAGTTGAAGGTAGTTGGTTCAGCTTTGCTTCATTCATGAGGACATCTGTTTTAGGAAGAAATGACAGCCAGTTAGTGCTCATGCCATCAGAACATAATAGTGACATGGTACAAATTTTGCAGGTCCTCTGAAACTTGAGAGAAATGGAGTGTGTGTGTGTGTGTGTGTGTGTGTGTGTGTGTGTGTGTGTGATCTTACTGGTAGCGATGACTGGTCTTACTAAGAAACAGTAGTGTCTGGTGTAGGAGTGAAAATAGCCCTTTTATGATCCATGTTTATATATTCCCTGGTGACATCACTTATTTCTGTTCTCCTGGAGAGCAATGACACAGAGATGCAGCATAATGGCATGATTATGTACTGGATAAATGGACTACAAGGTTATTAATAACTATGCCATCACAGTCCCTGGTTGTGGGATGACATTCCACCAGTGACAGACTGCATGTATCAGTGAGTCCTCAGCTTCCACTGCCTGGGGATGGGGAGTCGTCTTAGGTTGTAAGTTCACTTCATGATGTTCATACAGTAAAGGAGGCTTACAGTAAAGGGGTGAGTCCCTGCTTTTAAACATCACATAATAGTATTTCTCATGACTCTGTGAGACAAGAGAGATGAGGGCTATTCTCTTCATGGTACTGGCTGGAATGGAAATCCCCACAGTGGTTTCTCCATGAATGGATCCACTACTTTAGAGGGCTAACCCATGAAACAAGGGACCACTGAAGAGTCAGCTCAGCTTGGTTGGCTGTCTGTGTTCTTGTCTCAAGCTGTCATTTTGGTCTGAGTTTCTGCCAGAAGGACATCTGCATCTGGCCTCTACCTGTGTCTCTATGAGGGTTCTTAGCAGCTCAGCAGCTCAGGGCTCCTAAAGGCACACAAGGAGAAACTTCTAGAAATTCTTCTGGAAATTCAGGTCTGGACAAGCCAACATTGTAATGTAGTAATGTAATCCACAGAATTTCATCAGTCCAAGTAAGTCACTCACAGGTCCTGCTTAGCCACAGTGAAGAAGGAAACAGAAACCCCTTTATCGATGTGAGTGCTGTCGTGTGTGCACAGGAAAGGTGCTCTGGCAGGTTCGGAGACCAGCTTCCTTCAGTATTTAATTGACAGGGTAAAGCATAATGCATTATGGGTAAAGGCATTAAATCAAATGCCTTGTAGCCAATGAATTACCTGAGGTCTGGATCTTTCCTTCTTTACCTTAATGCCTAACACATGCCTTTCTTAAGCATACTGGAAACTCACACATTGGATACTCCATGCCATGAATGCAATGTTAGCCATCTTCCCACAAGTTCTTCAAAGTTCCTTGCTCCATTTTACAAGTGCTTGAGGCTCAGGAGAGTTGCATGGCTTCTTAAGGTCATCTGGTTGGTGAGGGAGAAGATCTGAAAGTCACCACAGACTCAACCTTACTACATGCTCAATGATTAGGTTGCTGATCCTTGTAGCTCCTACAGAGTGCAGAAATACACACTGGCATGGCGCGCCCTTCAGCTGTTTAATACAGAAAATTTTATGAGAATGGTCTTGCCAGTGGTCTGGCTGCCTTGGCAATCAACCCAATGGCAGTGTTCTGCAGAATCCCACTGCAGTGATGGACAGGGAAAGGACAGAGCCTATGGACAGAGAGCTGTCCTGCTGCTCTTCAACCCCTTGATGTGGCTGAACCTGGCATTCACATGTTTTGCTCACTCTGTGATATCAACCCCTCAAATTAAGTATGCAAACAAGAAATCCATTTGGCACGATCCTTTTCTTCTATTCAGGTCAGTAAGTAACTGAGGAAAAGTCCTGATTCATCTTCACTGTTTCTCAAATATGCAAATGAACATAGTGATGCATTTTCTCGGATATTTTCTGCAGATGCCAATTCAGCAGCTATTAAAAGTTGGGTAATTACAGTAATTAATTTCTGAAAGCTGGGAAGTGTGGAGGGAAAAATCCTCACACTAACAGATAGAATAGTAAATCAAAGGAGAAATGAAACACACAAGAAACCGCTGAAAGCAAGCTGATTCTACGCTTCTGCATGCCTCGCTGTTAGGGAGAGGAGTGGGGCATCTCAGTAGATGGCAGTGTTAGGAAGGGCTGGAGAGCTGCTCTGCTCAGCAGCGGAGGGCCTGCAGGATCCTAACGTCCACTCATCCACTCAGCTCTTCGTCTTACTCTGACCCTTCCTCCCACTGGCTGAAAAATGGGTGGCACCAAAGGCTCCTGCTTAACAGACTTATGGGTGTTCCGTTCTGGTTTATTTCTGATCACAATCAGATTAAATTTGTTCTATGTGCAGCCCTCAAAAATGCCAGTACTGCAGGTGACTCGTGGAAATGGATATCCAAGCTCTTTCTTTGCCTCATAGCATTTTTGCCCATACTAAAAATTGGGAGGTAGGAATTTAGTTGGGCAAATGGCAAAAGAAAAAAAAAATGGATTTCAACTGGGTTTTTTTGAATTGGGAAGATGCTTTTCTTTCCTATCATTCTCAGCAGCTGCAAGGTTCTGATACTGCTAGGCCGTTGTGGGCTGCAGCTCTGAGCAGCTCAAGTGCGTCTTCATTTCCTCCAGGGCTGTGGCCTTCAGTCAGTTGTTGGCAGAGTGATATTTACTAGGGCACAGGAGAGCTTTTGTTCTGAGAGTGGGAGGTCAGAGGCAACCGGACAGAGTTGTCTGTTGGAGCAACAACTGGGGTGGATTTGCTTCTAAAAGTAACTGGAATCTCCTAGCTTTTAGCTCTTGTTATTCAGAGATGAATGGAACCAGAACTCATGCTCTGGGTTTGAGGTTAGAGAGGCAGAGGTCACAGGAGCTAGTAGGACAGCACTGAGCTGGCTATAGGAGAGTTTATCTACAGGCGTAGCAAAAAGTATGAGCACTGGTTTTAGGGCTTAAAGAAAAGGCATGCCCAGTCTCATCAGGAGAGTGGGGAGGGGCCCAGACACTGAGACGTACAAAGGAAGATGCCTATTTTTTGTTCAGCTGAGCTAAATCATATGAGTAGGCCTGGGAAGGTCAGCCATGGTGTCAAGAGCCTTGCATGCCAAGCTAAGAGATTTGAACCACTGTTGGTTACCAAACATTGTGACCATAAATCCTTCTAAATTTAATGACCACATACTCTACAAGAGTTATGCAGACAGTAGATCACGGTCAGATCTCTTGTGCCATCCAATAATCACAGACTATGGGGAAAGTTAGGTAACAACTTTGACCTCTTACTCAACAATATCATTATTCTTATGATAGTTATGAAGATGAATGAGTGCCAAGGCTGTTGCCATCTGAGCAGAAAAAACTTTAATCCAATAGAGGAACCATTCCAACTTAGCACTAAGACATATTTATGTTTTTGCATTGAGAGAATTTATTTTTTAATAATCATTATTATTTTTATTTTTTATAATTTATTCACTTTATATCCCGATTATAGCCCCCCCTTGTTTCCTCCCAGACCCACCCTCCATCCCTTTATCCCCTTATTCCCCTCCTCTAGACCACAGAAAGGGGGAGCCCTCCTCTTCTACCATTTGACTCTAGCCCATCAAGTCTCATCAGGACTGCCTGGATCCTCTTCCTCTGTGGACTGGCAAGGCATCCCCACCAGGCGGACATGATCAAAGAGCAGGTAACAGAGTACATGCCTGAGAAGATCCCTGCTCCCCTTTCTAAGGAACTCACATGAAGACTGAGTTGACTGTAGGCTACAGCTGAGCAGGGGGTCTAGGTCCTTGCTCAGGACCTAGACCATGCATCGTCCTTGGCTGGTGCATCAGTCTTTGCCCCCTGGGCCCACATTTGTTGGCTTTGTTGGTCTCCTCATGGAGCTTCTGTCTTCTCTGAGTCCTTCTATTCCCTCACTCTTTCTGAGATTGCCTGCACTATGCCCAGAGTTAGGCTGTGAGTGTCAGCATTGGCTTCAATCCGCTGCTGGGTGGAGTCTTTCATAGGACATATGTGTTAGGCTCCTGTCCTGTTACCTCTCTTTAACCTGTTCTATTTGTCTTTCTAAATGAGAATTAAGCATCCTCCCTAGGGTCTTCCTTGATATTTAGCCTCTTTAAGTACGTGGATTTTAGTATGTTTATCCTGTATTATATGTCTAATATCCACTTATAAGTGAGTATATACCATGTGTATTTTTCTGGTTCTGGGCTACCTCACTCAGGATGATCTTTTCTAGTTCCATTCATTTGCCTACAAATTCCAAGATTTCCTTGGTTTTAATAGGTGAGTACTATTCCATTGTGTAAATGTATCACACTTTCGTTATCTACTGTTCAGTTGAGGGACATGTAGGTTGTTTCCAGGTTCTGGCTATTACAAATAAACCTTCTATGAACATAGTTGAGCAAATGTCCTTCTTGTATAGTAGAGCATCTTTTGGGTATATGCCCAGGAGTGGTATAGCTGGGTCTTAGGGTAGCGCTATTCCCGGGTTTCTGAGAAAGTGCCAGATTGATTTCCAAAGTGGTTGTACAAGTTTGCACTCCCACCAGCAATGGAGGAGAGTTCTCCTTTCTCCACAACTGAGCCATGTGCTGCATGTGCTGTCACGTGAGTTTTTGATCTTAGACATTCCGGTGGTTGTAAGATGGAATCTCAGAGTGATTTTGATGTTCATTTCCCTGATGACAAAGAACACTGAGCATTTCTTTAACTATTTCTCGACCATTTGATATACCTCTGTTGAAAATTCTCTGTTTAGCTGTTTCCCATTTTTTAATTGGATTACTTGATTT